ATGGCAGGCAACTTCTGCCTCAGGCACCCAGCCCCTCACGTGGCGCCTAATCCTTGTTGGTAAGTTGAACTTATCGCAACACCTCCACCATCACTCTCTCCTCTATCTACACGAGGCTACATGTTTTTCAATAGCTGTGCAAATCAATAGACTTGGATCTCTTAGGGCAAGGCCTTGCTCTAGCTCGAATCATCGCCAGCATCTGCTGAACGGCCATGCGTCGACTCTGCGGGGTAAAACACCTTTGTTAGTCGATTGGGCGCTGTAGTCCCGTACGGCCTCTTGGTTTGGATGAATCATCAATATCTAGGTATACTTCCAAGAAAATCTAAGTCCTATTACATCTTAAACCCAAGTAAACAACTGGCTAACACATTTCCGTAGATCCGAAAAGCCGAAGCGCGCGATACATACACACCAAGCATGGATTCCAAAGCATCAACATCCTCAGCATCATCATCATCATCATCACTCAGCAGTATCCAGAAAGCCGTCTGGAGCGGCAAACTGCCGCTGCACATCACCCTGGCCCCGTCCGAAAGCCGGACCTTTGACCAGACAGACCCATATCTTGTACTTCTCCTCCAGGATATCCTTTTTCTGTCCGGACCACGGATAAAGACGCTAACCAAGAGCCCAACAGATCTCCCACCCGCGCCTCGCATACCTCCCCTCTCTTCTCCCCCGACTACGGGACTTTTTTGCATCTTCCCTGATTCATCCTACCTCACGCCCGCATGAAGGCTGGTTCTCCTTCGAGGGCGTCCCCCTGAAATGGCACTACCCCATCGGACTCCTGTATGACCTCTACGCGGGCGCCGACCCGGCCTCGAAGGGTGGTGATGGTGGTGGTGGTGGTGGTGGTTCCCCCTCCGCCACTGACGAAGACCCCCTCCCCTGGCGACTGACCGTGCATTTCAGCGACTGGCCCGACGAGGAGCTGGTGCGGCTCGACGCCGACGGGATGGTCATGCACGACGCGTTCATCAACAGCGTCAAGGAGGCGGATTTCCTGCGCAACGGTACGGCGAAGGGGATCATGGCGCTGTCGAAGGAGGATTCCGCTGGGCTGTGGACGGCGGTGAGAGATGGTATGCTTGCCCTTTCTTCCCCGAATTTCTTCTTGAGACAATCTGATTGCATTTGATATATGTAACCTGTACCTGGACAGAAGAACTAAGATGGAGAATAGTGGACCTCCCCTCCTTTCAACGGATATCCAACATCCTCCTCCCGCCGCCCAACCAACCCTTCCGCAACGTCCCCGTCCGCTTCTTCCTGCCGTTGCCCCCGGACTCCGACTCCCCCTCGTTGAAGGTGGTCCAGTCGCCCATCCCGCCGGTGATCGCCCCGTCGTCGGCATCGTCCGCGGCCGCGTCGACCATGAGTATCGCGGCGAGTCAGTCGATGCTGGCCGCCGCACGGGGAACGCCGCAGATCCAGACGATCGGGTCGGCGCTGCATGCGCTGCTGCCGAATCTGTTTCCGAGTCGCAGGACGCCCGTGCTGGCGAAGCCGGTGCTCCATGGGGCGGCGGTGCCGATGGCGGCGCCGGTGGAGGAGCTGGTGCGGTGTTCGGCGTATGGCGATGGGTGGGTCTATGTTGTTGTGAGGATGATGGGGTAGGTTGCGTTGTGTTGGGGGGCAGGGGACAAGGGGGTAAAGGGGCGTCGGCGTCTTTGGGGGAAGTTTGCTTTGCCTCTTCGGCTAGCGATGCTTTGGGAGAAGGCCTTCAAATATCGAATGCTCCAACGAGCTTGTCATCCTCATCAATAGCGTTGGAATCTTCCTGTTCGTCCTCGGTCGTTGTCAATCGATGAAGGTCCACTAGATACAGTGAAGCTTGTCGGAGTCACGATCTTAGCGAGAGATCTCAAGGATCTGTTCTTGAATGATGTAAAAGTGCCGACGTAGGAATCTGTATGCGTAGTCGAACCCGGTGACGTTCGACTTTCGGTACTGCACCGTTCACACGTGCTTTCAAGAGTATTAGCTACCTACCCATGCATACAGACCAATTTACTTCCTTCCACATCCTCTCCATAACATCCCCCGATACCCCTAATTGAACCCGTACGCAGCGAACTCAGGATTCATCCAACCCAACGGCATCTGCGTATTGAACAGCTGCCACATAAGCCAGTCGCTCGATGCGCTGTTTCCCGGATCCAGAATCCCTGAAGCCTCTTGGTTCATGCCGTGCGCCAAGAAGCTCTCCTGGGTAGAGGTGTGACCTGTTTCCATGGCCCCATTCGTCGCGGCGCGGGCCACTGCCGGCGTCGATGGAATGCGAACAGGTGAGGTGCCAGCAGCCACTCCCTGTGATACAGCCCCATCCCCAGCATCGTTGGTCTGGAACAGCGGCTCGCACAGACGCGCAAGCGACGTCAAGAGGTCGAGGAGTTTCTGGAGGTGCGGATCATGCTTACACTGCGACAGGGTTTTGACGATGCTTTGCACGAGGTCGTAATCGGATCGGTCTAGGGAGCCGATGATGTTGCAGAAGAGAACGAAGAAGGGGCTTAATGGGTAGAATAGTAGGGTCCTTATGCTGTAGTCAGTAGCCATAGTTTTCTTTTTGGCGGTGTGGTACTGTACGCACCATGTGAAAAACGACGGGTATGGATCGTTGAAGCCCGGCATCTCGGCGTGGTGCTGCTGGAGATACTGGAAAGCTTCCAGCGATCGTCGCGCGCAGAGCAAGGTCTCCTTGTGGACCATCGGGCTGAAGGAGCACCGCAGCCGGGTCCGGTAGATCTCCACGAGCACGGCATAATAGCAGAAATCGGCACCGATCCAGTCCAGCTCGATGGGTCTGTGGGTTGAGCTGCGGTTCTGCGCAGGTAAACACCTGGGGTCAGTCGAATGGTGACGATGCGGGTTGTGGAAAGCCTTACGCCTTGGAAGTCTGGGAGGAGTCGTCGCATCCTGGTCTCGAGACTGTCGATGACTTCCATGATTTGTCGGTTCGATTTGCGTTTCTCGTGAGCGGGTATGGAGAGTAGTTCGCCTTGGATTTGAGCAATCTCAAGACAGGTCCGAAAGAGGGAGCCGTATGGTAGCGAGGAGTCGAAGCCGACGAGATCTGTTGGAGGAACTAGAAGGTCCGGTAGGGAGGTGGGTCGGCCCATCAGCGAACTAAGTGACTTGTCGAGGAAAAAGCACCACAGCAGCGCGTTGTGAATATCCTTCTGCACCGCGGAGGGTGAGGGGCTGTCTTGAGTCCTGTGGTAGCCGAGCGCTGTGATTTGACGAGCGCAATACGAGTTGAGTATCCAACATTGGTTGACTCGACCCAGATGTTGCATCAGCAGGGCCTAGATGCGGAGCACGTTAACGATCTTGCGTGGCACCTTTGGCCTGCGCACACGACTCACGCTAGACAGTAGAGCCTGTATGAAAAGAAGGCTTGGAGGAGCGAGGATGTCGAGTTTGTGAATGCTCTGCACTGCTGCAGCTATGTAGATGGAGGCGGATTGAAAGAGCCGCCGTTTAAGCGTGGAGCTGGTTGTGCTTCTGGCCAAGTTGAAAAAGTGGAATATTGCCTTGACGTAAATGCAGACGGAGAGTCGGTGGAACACCTGGCCCTTGCAGTTTTCATCAAGTACTTCCGCAGCCATTCTTTCATATGACTCTTCTGAGATATGGTCGGGCCACTGATAACCTTCCCTACTTGTTGACCCTGAAGACCATTCAGTTGGTGATGCTGTGAGATGAGATAGACTATAGTTACCAGGAAGCAGCATGAAGATCAGCTCTTGCGGCGGGGCCTCTGGGACCGCAATGCTGGGATCTACAGAAAACCCCTCTTCGGCAGATGTGGTTGATTCCACAGGCACCGAATCCGCCATCTGACTGACTAGATCGAGCGCGGCCTTGAGAACAGACTGCTGTTCATGGCTGATATGTCGACAGTCATCGAGTACTACTTCAATGATACTTCTGGCTTGCACCGCGTGATAGTTGGAGCTGTCGGTGCCAGCAGGCGAATTGAGGTCACCACGGGAGGTCTGCTCATGTTCGCCCGGCATGTCAGCTCGTGGCTGCTTGGATAGTCTCTGTTCCTCTGATCTTATCTCAGAGCTGGCTCCAAGGTCGGGTTGTCTAGCCCTATTCACTGATCAGCCGGCTGGCATAGAGGCCAGAGTTGGGGAAGAGGTTGCACCCTTGAGGCTGAGCTACGGGTCTTTCCAGGCGAATTATTGTTTCCGCTGGTCCAGTGGCACTAGTGAACAGTAACTTAGCGGTGACCGTGGTAGTAATTGTGGGCCAGCGAGGTTGCGAACCTTGTGAAAGATCGTTTCCGCGATGTCCTTCCGCGACGAAGACGCTGGCAATCGACACCAACGTCTACGCAGTTCGAGCAGTTTCTCTGTCTGTTACATCTGATCTGCCGGCTGTGTGAGTACATTATTGATGGTTAGGTATATAGTGCCAGACCAAACCTTTTTAGAATGGCATAGATCGCACTAAGACATTGAGTCAGCCCAAAGGTCTAGACCGATGCGCGAGAAAATGAGGCCAAAACGTAGAGGGTAGCGTAGAAAACATACTGCGGGCAGTATATCATATATCATCGAAGACTGCAAAACTCTGTGACATTGCAATTCATATTCCATCGTCCATATAAGGCCGATTGGATTGATGAGAGTGGTTGTAGAAGATGAGAAGAAGCAACTCGGAAGCCGCGCGAATTGGGCGGAATGGGAGAAACCTTTGCGCGGCTGACCAATGACAAAAAAGTTTTATAGTAAAAGGTCGTGCCTAATTTTTATTATTCGCAGTAATTAGTAAATATATAAGTTGATCATGGATATAATATATGAAAGGGGTTAATACTATTTACATAGCTAATGTTTTTTTTAAAGCCTTGAAAAGAGTTCATATAGCTGCGTTCAGTACGTACAGTACAAGTTGGAAGGGGAGTCGACCCAGTCAGTAATCCCCCTGATAGCCCAGGCGATTAGCTGCCTACCTACAGGCCAAATCACCCCCTCCTTCTCCAACTGCCCCACCAACTCTTTAGGGAGTTTTGTCCACTGGCAATACCTACAATCGCCCGATCACAATCAAGGGATAAAATATAACGAGAACAAAAAAGAAAAGAATAACGAAATAATCGCTACTACTTCCCCCCCCCACCGCAGTTTTGTGTATCATAATATGACCCCCATGCAACCTACAACCCTCAACACCTCGGACCGACCCGACCACTCCTCGTCGTTCCAGAGCAGTAACTCCTCCTCCTTCTCCTCCTCATCCCATGCCCGCTGGCTCGCCCTCACGCACCGCGCCCCTTCCTCGCACTCCGCCTTCATTTACGGCGTCAAGTCCACCAAGATCTACTGCCGCCCGACCTGCGCGGCGCGGCTGGCGCGGCGAGCCAACGTCGAGTTCTTTGACACGGTCGAGCAGGCACGGGCCGCCGGCTTCCGGCCGTGCAAGCGCTGTCAACCGGACTGCGCGAGCTTCGTCGGGGAGAGGGAGGGCCTCGTATCGCGGGTCATCGCGCTCCTGCGCGTGCACCCGGGAGGCTTTTCCTCCCCCACCCCCTCCTCCTCCTCCGGCGCCCCGGAGATGAAGCTCCGCCTGAAGGATCTGGCGCAGGAGGCCGGGGTGACGCCTAGCTATCTGTGCCGCGTGTTTAAGAGGACGATGGGTATCACGATCGGGACGTATATGGCGGAGTTTGAGAAGGAGGGCTGCGACGCTGAGGTAGAGGGAGAGGGAGAGGGAGAGGGAGAGGGAGTGGCAGAGATGGCGGTAGCGCTGCCGGCCGTCAGGTCGGACCAGATAAACGTAGGAGCAGAGCCTGCTGTGTCGACTATGATACAAGAGGGAGGACTAAAGGAGATGGGAGGACGAGGAGGAGGAGGAGGGGGAGGAAAAGGAGGAGGAGGAGGAGCAACACTCTCGCCTCCCACGGAATGCCCATGGAACGTCTTGCCGGAGGAAAACTTGCACGGAGTCGATCCCACCCTTCCGACCTTTGATCTTGAAGAATGGTTTTCCTCCGCGGCGTTTTTGAATTCGAACCTCTTTTTAGACGATAGCGTTCTCGCATAGGGGCCTTGATGATACAGTCCACAGGTAGTCGTTTCAGTGGTCAGGTCGCAGCATAGCTGAGAATCTACCATTCACACAGAAATGAACCAGACTTACCCAGACTGCTCACTGCGAGGCCAAACAGTCAACAAAGGCCATGGTTCACGTTAGAGTGAATCTGTGCCATATCAGAAAGCTCACAGGCGAGGAACGGACCTTGTTCTTTTCTTGCAGTCGCTCGATGATACATAGCGGATAGGGACGTTGCCAAGTCAGGCAGGGCTCCCATTCAATAGACAGATATCTCAAGTGTCGAAGGTTGTACAATACTAGGCAACGGATATATTGCTACCTACTATTTCAGCCATTGATTTATGATATATGGTTCACTGTTCCTAGCACACTCTTAACTCCTGAGTACTATGCAAAAGGGCGAGCTTCACAACAACCTTCGGGTGTCTCTCTGTTGGCTTCCATGTTCTGATCTGTACAAGCCCGCACATCATCAGTCGCAGGTGGTCATCTTCAGGATCACCAGCATAGCTTTATCAGAATGGCCCTTGACGTAGTCGATTAGCTCCCGGAAGACCACAGCCACCTGGCCCTCGGCGGCCAACGCTTCAACCTCCTCTTGGAAGCCTCCGGAAACCCAGACCTCCTCCAGAATCGTTGCGGCGACGTCGCCACCTAGCCTAGTGACGCAGAAAAACTCCCTCAGCGCCGGGTGCGAGCCAACATGGCCGATGGTAAATGTGCCCACGCAGACCACGACATCATACACGGCATCCGCCACCACATGGATCCGAGTCGTGAGATCGCCACGGATCAGGTTGCGGTAGACTCCAGTCTTACTGGCCATGGCGAGCATGGCAGGAGAGAAGTCAGTCCCATCGATGGCGGCGATGGAGGATGTTAAGGAGGAGCAGGAGGAGGAGAAGGAGGAGGAGGAGGCGCCCCCCGCTGTCATAAGAGCCTGTCTACCAGCCCGGTCCCGCAGCCGGCGTCCAGTACCACCGGCCTGGTGATGGCGCTCTCGGAGAATCGTATCACCGCCTGGGCTACAAGCCTCGGGGCGACATAGGCTTGCGCTTCGTCCCTAACCTCCTCGTTGTAGGCGGCTGCTCATTTATGTAAATCTTCATGCATCGGAATACACTGGGACAGTCGCGGGCTCCACGGATCCAGCCCGGTAACCGGATATCACTGCCTGGAGTTCCACAGATGGGGGTACAGTATTGTCTATGATCTCGACAAGGAGCAGTATCCCAATGGAATGCTGGTCTTGACTGCTTTTGCTGAGGTTCAAGCCTGAATCCTATGAGATTGAGATCTTGGAACGAATGGTCGTGCACCATGTTTCCGTTATGCCCGCAGCTCGAGAGAGGTGGGGGGATCCGTCTATCAGCAGAGAAATCACGAGTTTGAGTACCATATAGCTCGTTTTTTGTATAACATTCCATAAAATTGGACGCTTTTGTTTGTTTCACTAGTGAGTTGACAAGGGACAAGCACATATGCCAGTGAACAGGTTTATCATAGTCTCTTCTTGTAATCCTGTAGGCGAAAAAGGACGGTTTCGCCGCGTCATGCAGCGAGTCAGTTCACGAGTACACTCGACAGGGGGCGCCCTCGCAATGCGTACTTTTCACTGATATTGAATGAATTAATAACGACTTTCCTTGAACTAGCTTGAAAGATGGGCGGTGCTAGGGCAGCGGCACACGCACAGCAGCAGGTCTGCATGGAGCTGGATTTGGCTAATCATTAATCGTTGGAGAAATGAGTCATCGGAACCCAGCCGAGCATGCATCTTCTAGTCTAAAATTTGGTAAAGACTAGGGCATACATCGAGGGACCTAGAACGGATCTACTCATAAAGAACTCGGCAAGGTAAGATTTCCTCGATTCGAGCCTGGTAAACTTCAAACTTGAAAGTAAGAATGGTACCAGGCATTTCATGAGCCCTGCCAGTTTATGATGTGGACGAGGATGGATGGTGGAGTTGGACTATAGTACGTGAGGCTATCTGCGGAACTAGCTAGGGCCACCGAGGTAGGCCTCAGGACCGCCGTCAGTTCTCTTCACTTGACATACAGGTTACCCCTCAGTCTACCCGTCCGGGTCCAAGATTATTAGAAGGTTACATACTCTTTCTATGCTTTTCGTCTCCGGGAACGCCTTTTCCTTTCACAGTCGTAGCTACCATTTGGTCCTCCAATCCCACCCCTTGATCTTGATCCTTACCCAGACAAAACATAAGAAGGCGACGACATAGTTCAGACCAGCGAATAGCGCCGTACCCCAATACTTTCCCTTGCCCGTGGCAGTCACGGCGCTCAGGAGGCCCCCGCCGATCGGAAGGCTCGCCAGCACCCCAATGGCTACCACAGTGAAGCAGCTCGCGTAGTAACGTCCGTACTCCTGCGTATCACAGAGCTGGCCTAGACAAATGGGGGTCAGGCTCACATTAGAGCCGCTGCAGAAGCCGAACAGGACGACAAAGACGATGAGCAAGGCGTCGTTCTCGAGATCGGATACAACAATGTCCGGCAGCCAGAAGCATAGCACGGAGACCGTGCAGAAGAACAGCGAGACGATCATCGTGTTGTACCGGCCGAAGCGATCCGCCAGATCGCCCGCCACATACCGGCCGCCGCAGGAGGCCGCGTTCAGAATGGCGAGAAGCTGATACGCGAACGCGGCCGACCCGGTCAGCGCCTCCTGCTGGGACAGGTGCTGCCGGTCGATGTAATAGCTCGGCATGTACGTGATGGGGAGGAAGTAGGCCAGATCGGTGAAGAGGACCCCGAAGGTAGTGAGGGCCATGGCTCCGGTTCCATCGAGGAAAATGGACGGGTCCGGAAGTGTATCGCGCCAGGTGGTCTCTGCGCCCTTGCGCGGCGGCACCCGGCTACGGCAAAAGGCCACGCTGATGGCACACAGCACGAGCAGGACAAAGGCAAGAATGCGGATCGACCACCCCCAGCCAACCCGGGGCAGGAGGGATTGCAGCATCAGAGGGAATATCACCCCGCCAAAACCGCTCCCGATGAATGCAACTCCACTAGCCAGACCGCGGCGCTTCATGAACCAGTGGGCCACGCAGGCCATTGACGGCGTGAGGAGAAGGGAGGAGCCGAGGCCTGTCAGGATGGAGAATGCGAGGAGAAACTGATAGTATTCTGCGTGCAATTGTTATCAGCGAGGATTAAAGGGCTTAAGATATGATATGATGCTCGGACGCAATCGCAACATGGCTTTACCTTCACAAACACTGAACGAGAAGATGCCAATCAGCGTGCAGACTGTTCCCGCGAGAATCAGTGCCCGCGGGCCCATTGCATCAAAGGTGGGACCGATTTGCATCCCACAGATCCAGTTCACAAATGCGTAAACCGAGAATATCCAACCGGTTGTAGACGAGGACACATTCGGTAGAATGTCTTTGGAGACAACAGCTTCAAAGACGCCCACTGTGTTGTATAGCCCCAGCGATGCCGTCAGACCGCAGAACGCACCGAATACCACGAGCCATGCATCGCGTCCACCCTCGGGGTAATCGATGGGATCATCAACGGGGGTGGAATTGAGTGTTGTCGACTGACGTCGCAATCCCCTACCACCGGCGCGTTGAAGCTTCTCATTGTCGCTGGTTGGGGGCTCGGTTGTACTCGTCGGGAAAGGATCATGTTCGCGATTTCTCATTCTCTATAGAGCTTCCTTGTAGGAGGAGTCGTGCAGGTTGCCGCTGCGGTGGGAGGTGGAAGGGTGACGATTGGATACTTTTGCTGATGTTGAGATCAGTAGAATGCCTAACACTCCCTGGGACTATATAAAGGGAGGTAAGAGGAGTTGAGAGCTCACGGAGACTGAGAAGGGTTGCAGAAGTCATGGTGGCCGCTCGATGACTCTGTCGATCTATGAACTCAAAGTGGCCAATCAACGACAGGCTTGGCATCAACACCTCGCATCCCGTTCAAGATTGAATGGTATGTTGGGTCGTGAACAACCTACAGGTATAACTTACAACTGACGTCCATCCACCCTTCAAGCATTTGACCAATTGCCCATGTTCTAGCAAGTTTTAAATTACTCAGGCCCAAGTTCTTCGACACGTGAGACATATTGCCCGCGCTGCGAAGTTATCATACGGGGTCATAGATCTCACTTTTTTAAGATATGGACTCCCTCTAAGTCTTGCTCGTAATCAAACACCAACTAACTCGAGGGACACTGAACTGATCCTGTGTCTGATCCCCCAAGCTAGACCTGTTTCTTAATCAAGAGCTTCTAAACTTTCAGTCTTAGAAGCAATATCTGATCTAGGCTGATGCTTCGAGTTGTCTCTGAGACCCACCTTCCTAAAACATTCGGACTCCCGGAAGATCACGGAGTACTGTTCAAGTACCCCCAATCAAAACAGTTCTCAACTGCGCTCATGCCTTCTGTATCTCTATCTAACATACCCTCTATACGATGCTAACAGAAATCACCAAGGAATCTCCTCCCCACGATAAATCTCCGAGCCCTCCACATGAATATTCCTAAACGTCCCGTTCGACTTCTCATCCGCCGCCACAATCACCTCCAGCACAGCCTTTGCTCCCTGGGAAACGGTAAGGTCGGCCCCACTGCCCCCCATATCGGTTTGTAGCCACTTTTGCACCCACCCCGCCATATTAGCCTTGCGCCCGCAAACGAGAAAGGGACGCTGGAAAACTCACCCCCGGATGCACCGTCATGAACACGAACCCGTCCGCCTCGTAGGACAGAGCATACTGCACCGTCAACGCATTCAGCGCCGCCTTGCTGACCTTGTACGCCGGCACTTTGGCGTAATCAGTGGCGCGCGCGCGGGCCATCGAGCCGTACTGGCTTGAGCTACACACATGTCGTGAGAATCGGCCCTTCAAGAACAAACTTACCCAGAAGGCAGCACCAGAGTGGACGGGAAAGGGAAGCAGGGAATAGACGAACATGTTAATAACCTTTTTTACCTGCGCACCCTGCATGAGCGGCAGGTACGAGCGGGTGACATTATGCGTGCCCGTCACGTTCACCGAGAGCGTAAAATCGAGGTCCGCCGAGGAGCTAGATATTCAGTTTTCGGGTCAGTACGCATATTTCAGATATAATCGGTCTATGGGAAACGAAGTTGGGCGAAGCAGAGAGGCGAGACTTACACCAACCCAGCCTTGTCCTGCGTCTCCCCAATCACTCCGGCGCAATTGACTAGGATCTCGAGCTTCCGATCCCCCAATACGCCCCGAACCTCCTCCGCGGACCGGACGACGCTGGCCTCGTCGGTGATGTCCAGCGCGACGAACGCCACGCGGCCCTTCTCGCGCGCGATGACCTCCTCCAGCGCGGGAGTGATGTTCCGGGCGGCGGCGATGATAAGGCCGTTCTCAGGGAGAAGGGCGGCGAATTGCTGGACGAGCTCGAAGCCGAGGCCGCGAGAGCTGCCGGTGATGAGGATGGTGGACATATCTGCTTTTGAAGGGATGCGTTGGAGTGTCGAGTAGTGTCGGGACGTAGGCAAGTAGTCTGTTTTCAAACGGGGATGGTATCGTAGTGATCTATGGAGGTCTATATCCGAAAGGCCGATTGGATCTGTCAGCAAGGCTTCTATCAAGTGGAGCTCGTCTCAGTTGATTTGTTGGCGTGTCTTGTTGTCGCTACGGACCCATCAGTCCATTTGGGACCCTTTTTCCGCTGGCAAAAAGAGCTTCCCGAAGGTTCCGAATCCCAACTTGTCTTTCCGGACAGGATTGTTCTAGAGACACAATACTACACTATGTGGCGAAATCTGCTTGCAACTGTGATAGTTATACCATGATAGAGGTACAGCTTTACAAGAAGGGAGGGCTTCACCGTCTTCACACGGAGTTCTTCAGAATCTAACTGAACCTTAGTGTCTCCTTTGACAAGGATTAGACTCCTAGATAGGCTATGAACCGGGCTGTCGGAACTAGATTTACATGCCGAACTCCCTCCGGGCCGTGGGTCACATTTCCCAAGTCGTTCGGATCTCCTTACAGTACTTGGGACAGTATACACACCTTATCTAGCACGTGGAATTCCCGCCCCCAGAGGAAGTCCAAAGACCACTGAGAGAGCAAAACAGAAATAATCCCCACGATCAAAACCAGTCATGATTCATGAAGATGCCAAAGTAGCACTATAAATACAGTCCATCCCAGATATGCTCCTCAACAAGCCTTGAGTAACAACCCCTTTGCTCTAACCAAATGAGTGCCGCTCACTCCACAGCATGCTCCGTCCCCTCCTTCCCAAGCTGACCCTCGCCCATCGACTCCGAGTTTCGTCTACAGCTCACACATCAGCCCCTTCCCAATTCAACTTGCCACAAACTTTTCTTTCCGTAAACGATAGGAATGAGTCAAACATACCGCGCATTAAACTCCTGAATCATATTCGCCATATTCCCCGCCCCGCTCGATCGCCGATCCGGGTGATCGTTCGCCGCGCCCCCGAAACTGCCTAACAGCTCGTTGATTCCTGCGACGATATCCAGGTCAGTCAGCATCAACGATATCCCCCCTATATCTCATGGAGATATTCGGGATGAACTGCAGGCTGAAAACATACGCTGCTGATCCTGGTGCCTCTCCGCCTCGGCCAGTTCGCGCTGCGCGGAGCTCTTGCGGCGGTCGCGCTTGAGGTGGCCGTATTTCTGGACGAGGTCCATTTTGCTATATCTTCAGTACTTATTGAGGGCAGAAGGAAAGAGGTGGTTGTGGTTGTGTCTCTGATAGAACGAGATTTGTTTCAAGTGACAACAATTGAGGTAATAAACTAACTGTTAAGAGTAGGACAGACTATGCTCTATATACCAACCCGACGAGGGTCATTGCATCATCGCAGTCCACCAACCTTCCAATCATCATCATCATATGATTTTCCGTCAACACGGCACCGTGGTGGCCCAGGTGCCAGTGAGTGCCAATAACATGATCCCGTATCGAGATCTGCTTCGACAATGTGGTTGGTTGGGGGAAGGCTGTTTTTCGCCTCTTCAGTACCAAGAATCATGCGTCATCGTGGCTGTGTGCTGGTTTTATACTCCCGTCTCCGCACTCCATCGGGGTTACGTTCCGCTTGCAAAAGCCAAGCGCTCCCAATCCCCAACGATCGACGAGAAGTGATGCCTGGATGACATTACTCCACTTGGCGTGAGGACCCCGGATTCTTAGCTGATTGGGGCATTCTGATTATTATGTTCTGGAAACGAACTATAATCGTATTGTGCGAAGCATAATTCCTGAGTTGTTTCCTGAGTTGTGCGGGGATCACATCCGGAATTGGCGGGGCGCACAACCACGGCTTTTGCCACATTGCCAACAGCTTCGTTGGCTGGAACCGGACGGGGGGCATTGTGCAATCGGAAAAGCTTCGGAGTGCGTGTTGAAAGCTATCTACACACACTGGGAGCAATTTTACTCTACTTCCGTCCGCCTCTGGTATGGATTACTGCTACATAACCGAGTAGCAAGTCTTGGAGGATACAGTACAGCCACTACGCCCTACTCGAACCGCTGCAACTCGGATATCACGTCCACTAGCGACCCCGTCTTCGATCCCTGGGACGGCCGTTCCGCGTCCTCCCCGAGAGGAATGTAGAATGCCCTCCAGCCGGCCTCGGTCGCCGCGCGATAGTCCTTCTCGTAGTCGTCGCCCACGTGGACGCACGTCCATCCGCTGTTATTGCTGCCATGACAGTCCTCCTCACTCGCGCCCACCAGCTTCATGGCTTGGCGCCGGGCCACCTCGAAGATGACGGGGCTGGGCTTCTCCGCTCCCGCCTCGTAGCTGGTGATCACCATATCCAGATCGTAAATCCCCTCGTCGCCCTCTGCATTGTTGACCCGGTCTTCATCGCGCCCTCGCATCTCGAATCCCGGCAGTTGGGTGCTCGAGACATCCTGATCGGCCCGGCACATCCCCACCCGCAAACCTAGCGACTCCAGCACGGCCGGCACCCGGTCATCGGAGTTGGACACCACGCCGACCACGACACGGTCAAACGGGCCCAGTCGCGTCCTGGTGCTTTTGATGTGGCGGAGTCGCGTGAAGAATGCGTCGGCGTTGGCGTCGAGGGCGTAGCCGTCCTGACATGCGAAGCGGTCGAGGAGATGTTGGACGAGGCCGTCGGGTACTGTGCTGTTTGTGGGGGTGGAGGACGAGGAGTCGGCGGCGGCGGCGGCGGCGGCGGCGGCGGTAGAGCTAGGGGCATCTAAAACGCGGGCGAAGCTGCCCCGGATCACCTCCTCCCACCATTGCCTTGGCCCGCCGTACTCGCCGCGCAGAGCTTGGGCGCGACCGTAGTTGGGGTGGGCTTTGGAATGAGCTTTGAAGACGGCCTTGAAGGCGGATTGCAGGCGGGCCGGGGTGACGGTGGAGCGAGGGAGGCCGAATTTGTGCGCGGCGGACGCGTATTGTTGGGGGACGGATTCGCGGGGGTGGAAGATAGTGCCAAAAGCATCGATCGTGAGAAGGAGAGTGCGCGACTTGCCGGAGGTGGGGTGGGGAGGCATGGTTCGTAAGGCTGGAGTCAGTGTGTTGGTGAAGATGGGCTTGGGCTTGGTTTGGGCTCGGAGCGGCGAATGATGGCAAGAGAATCTCGGGTTTAGTGCTTCGGTCTTCGGGCATACTTGTGGTTGGTCGGGCGTTATTACTTGTCCGGGCGACAAGGTCCGCGCTGGTCTCGGCGATAAGATTAGATTTGAAGTTCCTTTTTTCTCTTCCCGCGGCTTATCTGACGTGCAGTTTGTTGTACTCAAGCTTTGTTTCAGTTCGTTTGACAATATCGGAATTATAGAGAGAAACTGTTGAGAGGACCGGATCATGTCATCGAACTCAGGCTTGGTACCACTTCACCATGCAGTGTCCCTTGCTGCAGGCAAGGAACACCAGGGCCTCGTTCCACAAGGCTTGCAAGATAAAGGATTGTACGCCGTAAAAGTTGTCGCCTGAGCGCTGACGCGTCAGACCGACCATCCCCCACTAGGAAGTCCCCAATCGGGTTTTCCAGACAAAAGTTGCCTCCTATTCTTTTTCCGAGGCGTTGGCGCTTGCCTGGCATACATATATCGAGTCACTCCACCCATCTCCATTGACCCAACCTTATCGTTGTCATCACCCCCTACTCCCAGACACCACCATGGGTGTCTCCCGCCTGTTTGTGTCGTCCCTACTATGGGTAGCGAGCACCACCGCCGCCACCACCACCACCGAGTTCTCCCCTAATGCAAACCACATCTTCAACTCGATCCACTCGTCGATGCGCCAATGGGGCTCTTCCCTCCAGCACAACGGCATGTCCTTCTTCCTGGCGACCGTCCCCGCCGGCACGCAGTTCTACCATGGCAACGCCAACCCCGCGCCGGTGAACGGGACGGAGTGGCTGGCTTTTGAGCCCGAGCATGCGCTGGTCTTTGCCCGGCCGGGCCCATTTAAGAATCCGCCACCGCCTCCTCACGATGGCGGCGACGACGACGGCGGAGAAAAGGGCGATCTGCGGAAAGAGAAGCGGGCGGAGGTTGAGCAACAGGAATCCGAAGGCGGTTGGCTGCACACCTACACCGCAGCCAAGGATCTTCGGCTGCTGTACGCGGACGGCATGGCAGCAGGGAAGACCGCCAATGGGACGCTCGACGGCGAGGACCGGATCCTGTTCCAGGATAACCTGCCCAGCGATGGGGCGATGCATGGGGAGCGCGCGCGCGCAGTGGAGTTCTGCCGCATGGCTCGTGAGGAATTCCAAGGACGGCTGGACGGTTTCCTGCGCATGGAGGCCGGGTTTGAGATCATCCTCTGTGACTTCGCGCGGGATCTGAAGGAGGTGCGTGTCACGCAGGTCAAGTCGGATAAGGAGTCTTCTGGGGGACCGGGAGGCCCCGGTAAAGGGAAGGGCAGCGGAAAGGGGAAAGGAAAAGGGGGCCCGGGGGAGGCGCGGATTGGATGAAGGCGATCACGGCCCGGTACGGCGGCATCGGCGGCCACCGCGTCGCGCTGAACTACGAGACGTTCGTGTCCGCCTACACGTACGGCCTGGACCTGTTCCACTCGACGAACGAGACCTTCAAGCATCCCCGTCTGATGCACCTCTCCGCGCAGCAGCTGCGGCCCATCCGCGACGACCTGCGGCGTCTCGTCCTGGACCACACCGCCGCCGAGAACCTGTACGACTGGCAGGCGATCGCCGACATGGTCGTGGAGCGCTACGCGCGCGAGATCCGCTACCTCGCGTCCGGGGACGTGGCCACGGTGGCGGACCTGCATGCGGAGATCGAGACCATGCTGGTCCCGTTCATCGACTACTCCGACCGCGATACCGACGCTGAGCGCGAACGCTGCGCGCACCAGTTCCTCCCCGGCGAGATCGCCGTCGATGGCGTCGCGGCCACTGCCATCCACTCCGTGGCCCGCAGTATCTGTGCGACCATGCTGGCCGCCTGGCAGGAGCCCGACTACCAAACCGCCGTGGACCACTTCCGGGAGCTGGTAAACTACCTGGCCTGGACGACGTGGAAGCAGTGTAGTGGCTGCGGTGACCACGAGGTCTGCGTGGTCCCCATCTGGCCCATGGGCACCCTCGAGGACTATGAGCACCCGCAATGTCGCGATTTCTCGAACCCCGTCAGCCCTGGCCAGAGCTACTGGGGCGACCGCCGCGGGCCTCGGCCGCATGAGCCGGAGGATGAGAATGGGCAGGCATCGGGCTGGTTGGTGCGATTTGTCCGGTATGTGCTTGAGATCTTTCTGCGCATGCATATTTGAGGAGGCAGTGTGGGATCTTGGCTAAAGCATTCCATTGGTTTTACTTTTTTTGAACTACCACATAAACTACTACCCGCAGCCTATGCTAGTCTTTCTCAATCAAGGTATTCTCTATTGCAGGATGAATCGCATGTTTCATCGATCCTTGTCTCGCAAACAGTAATACATCGCCAGTACTTATGAGCGACACTGTAAGAAATCAAGTCAATGTGCATTAGCCAGGGGTTAGAGTGTACATTCCCGGTCAAGCATCAGAGAAATCAGGGCATGCCATTTTTAACCCTGACACGGCGGCTGATATGGGAAGGGAAGGGGGCACTTGATGAGATCCATACTCCGGTCCTTTGGACTGGACTTCACTCCGAGCTCTCCATAGCCCTCTCTAATTCTTTCTCTTGCGGTCATATACTCCAGTCCTCGCTCCCCAGTTCGGCTCCCCAAACGATACTTGAACGTTTCGGATATCTTCTACGTGTGCATCTGCCCCTAAAAACGGAAGGCCGGTTTGGCTCGAGGTCAGTGCATAGGATTGACAATTTTGGACAAGTATTGAGAATAGCTTCATGATTTGTCCCTCAAACACCGGCGCAAACACTACGTGGAGTTTCCAAGTCAACATTTATCCATCCACTGATTTTGGCCTTCGCCCGGAGCAACGGAGGAATTGTTAGGGCTTACTATAAGTTGCTACTGGTGTGTACTACCTACTGCCTAGTAGGGACTAGTAGAAATCCCCTCTTTCCCTCATTGTGCCAAATCCTGACAAGCTTCCAAAGATCGAGAGACCTTGAACCTGGGAACGACGACTAAACCGCCATCACTAACGTATACATTATGGCCTCAGGTTCGGCGAATCCGCCAACTCTCGGCCGGCCAATATCAAAAGTACTAGTAGTATGCAACATGTTTACCAATGACAATTGATCATTGCTTGCAAAGAAGTGCTACACCTGAGGGTACAGAGGGAAATCCAGGATTTCCATCCAACTTCATCATGCTTTGGACAATGGCTTCGGCTCTGGCACATGTTCGAGCTCACCTCCCATCCGCAGAATCCAGACGGCCCCCGGGTGCTCGACCACAGAGCTCCCTCCGTACAGGAAGTTCATGGGAAACCCCAGGTCGAATGGTAAAGCAGCCTCGATCTCACGAACTTCCTCCTCCGAGAGCTTGAGGGTGAGTGCCTCGATGTTTCCGCGCAAATGATCGATCGTGCGCCCGCCAACGATGGGGAAAACATAGGGGGCTTTGCTGGTCACATAGGCCAGGGCGATGCTGGTTAGAAGCGTGCCCTTTCGCTGGGCCAACTTCTCCAACACGCGCGACACCTGTCGCTCGTTCTCCCCGGGTTCCACTGCTCGTCCCTCGCGCTTCTCCCGGGCTTCAGACACGAAGGTGCCGCCCCCCAGGGCGCCCCAGGGGGCAATCCCCATGCCCTCCGCTCGACGCATGGGCAGGATCTCCCGCTCAAAGTCCCGTAACGCTGCATTCCACCGGCCCTGATAGACACTGAAGGGACGCAGCCCATGGTTGCGCGCGTACTCGTTGGCTTTACTCACCACCCAGGCCGGGGTGTCGCTCACCCCGAGGAAGAGAACTTTTGCGGCGGCGACCAGGTGGTTGAGTGACTGCATCAGTTCAGGGATCGAGGTGGCAAAATCCCACCAGTGCACATAGAGCTTTCATTTTCCTCGGGTCAGCCTTTCTCCTCTCAGGCTGTGGAAGTAAGCGTACCAGGTTCAATGTAGGTGGTTTGAAGTTTCTCCAAACTTGCATGCACCGAGGTGTGCAGGCTCTTGGTGCCATTCCCATTAAAATTGACAATTATTTCCTGGTCACCGCGACCAGCGTGAAAGTTGGTCGAGAATTTGGTAGCGACGACCATTTGATCGCGCACGCCGCGCTTCTTCATCCATTCTCCGATCCACCGCTCGGACTCCTCGGCCTGGTAGTTGTTCGAGGTATCGAAGAAGTTCCCCCCTTCACTGTAGAAGTAGTCCAGGATACTCTCGGTAGTTTTCTGATCGCAGGTTCCCATTGTAATCCACAGTCGTCAGCGCTTGGTTGCTGACTTTTTAGTGGGAGGGGGGGGGGGGGGGGGAGAGGGCGCTTAGGGCCTTACTGTAGTCTTTCCATGCATTACCGAAGTTCATGGCCCCCAAACACAGCGGACTGACGCGGACTGACGCGGTGGAAGACAAAAGACGATAACGACCGAGAGGGCCTTTGGCGCGGGGAGCCGCTTGAGCCAAGGGAGACTCTTTGGCGGACATAACGGGAGAGAAGTTAGGGTTAAGATGTACTGTACTGACGGCGGTCGCAGTCGAAGAGCGAAGAGTGAGTGGCCAGCTATGGTTAAAATAGTCGCAGTATCCCGAGTATTTCCAGCTGTACAAACGTCACTGTAATGAGCCGACAGGAGCCGATGGACCGGATTACAGCCAGAAGGCAGCGGGGGCAAGCCTTGCAGTGGTTTTCTGACTAGTGATGCTTAAGCAGTACAATGTGGGCATAACACCATATCATATACACGGCCCCAGCCGATCCGCTGGACCCATCCCGAAATATTTCGAGGTGGGTGTTGTCTCCCGATGTTTTTCTGACAAAGAGACACCACTCCGGACTATTTCTTGCCCCCGTTGCGTTGTTTGTGATGTCTCTTCTGCACCGATCGTCCCTCTATGGCCTTCTCGACCAGTCTTCCCCTCTCCCTCCTCTTTCGCCCACGAATCCGAACCGCAGCTCGCCGAATCATGACCCCGAAATGAGGCCACCACAAGGACCACAAGGTCGTCCAATTTGACCCCTATCCCCTGGCTCACGTCTATCGCCTGATCGAGCCGGGTCCAGTGCTGCTGGTGACCACTGGATCCCTGCGTGACGCGACTCATAACGTCCTGACCATCGGCTTTCATATGATGATGCAACACGAGTCACCGCCGCTAATTGGCATCACGCTGGGCCCCTGGGACGCCTCATTCGCCCGCCTGCGCAAACATCGCGCATGCGTGCTGGCCATTCCTTCAGTGAAAATGGCCCCCGAGGTGGTCGATATTGGGAATTGCTCCGCGGCCGACGGGGGACCCACCAAGTGGGAGCGATTCGCCCTCGAAGCACGCCCCGCAAACCAGGTCGAGCCCCCCTTGATAGATGCTCCGCACATCTTGGGCAACATTGAGTGTGTTGTGGAGGATACGACTCTGATGTCCAAGTACGCCATGTGGGTGCTCCGACCCGTCCAAGCATGGACCAGAAGGGGGGATCGGCCTGGCACCGTCTTTCATCATCGCGGTCAAGGGGTCATGGTGGCCGACGGCGAAGTGATTGACCTCTCGCAGCGGATGATCAAGTGGCAGGAGTTTTTGAATTGATTCTCAGCTCTGATGTTGGTTAACATTCAAATCCTCCGTCCAATTGACCCAGTAATCTCCGAATTCTCTCGGGCTTCTCTGCCGCCGCAAAACATATATATGTATATTTATTAAATCCCCTTCCTCGGTGTCCGCATTTGCAAACCAAACCCCCCCCCTCCTCCAAACCCCTAGACAAGCTGTCTGCCTATTCATCTGAGGTGGCTCATTTACCAACGACATTTTCATTCCAACGTTATGGAGAAAGCAGGCGATACCTACAACAGTCATGCGGCTGAGGAAGCCGGTTTCTCGTCTGCCCCAACGGGTCTCCCGAAGTCCACAAGTGGTAGCACATTGCCTCCATCCGACAGCAAGCCCGGCGCCACCTCTTCCCCTTCCCCCTCCTCGGCTCGCACCATAACGGGGATACGGTGGATCGGGGTATGCATCCCACTTTACGTCTCGCTGTTTGTCTACGGCTTGGACGCTACCATCGCCGCAGATGTGCAATCGACGATCGTGGAGCAGTTTGGGGAGGTGGACGAGCTGTCGTGGATTGGATTTGGATTTCCGCTGGGGTCAGTGGCGGTGATCGGTGCGTGCGATGTGTTGTACGCGCGCTTTCACATGAAGTGGTCCTATATTGGGTCGACGGTGATCTTTGCGGCGGGATCGGCGCTGTGCGGTGCGGCCCCTAACATGGCTGCCCTGATTGTTGGTCGTGTCTTTGCAGGAGCAGGGGGTAGCGGACTGTATATGGGCTGTCTCAACTTGTTCACCAGCTTCACCAACCCTAAGGAGCGCGGCGCCTACATCACGGGCACGGGCATCACTTGGGGCCTGGGGGCGGTGCTGGGTCCGGTGATTGGCGGCTGTTTCACGGCCTGTCCGTGACCTGGCGCTTCTCCTTCTACATCAATCTGATTATTGCTGGGGTGTTCATCCCGGTCACCTGGCTCTGTATGCCCTCCGTCAATCCCGGAGCGGAGACCCCGCTGCTGGCCCGTCTCCGCCGTCTCGACTGGGCTGGGTTCGTACTTGGAGCCGGCACCTGGGTAGCCTTTACCCTGGCCTTTACTATGGCCGGGGGCCAGTGGGGGTGGGCCGACGGGCGTACCATCGCGACCATCGTGGTATCTGCGGTCCTGTGGGTGTTGTGGGGGGTGCAGCAGGCCTGGTGCATCTTGACCACGCTCGAGGACCGATGCGTGCCAGTCCAGCTTCTTCGGTCTCGGTCTCAGATTCTCCTGTACGTGGCGACCTCGAGCACCATTACCTGCCTCTTCATTGTCGTCTACTATGTGCCCATCTATTTCCAGTTTGTGCACGGGGATTTCGGCGCTGGACGCGGCGGTGCGGCTGCTGCCTTACATTGTGGTAACGGTGCTCTTGAACTTGGGCGCTGGCTCGCTGATTGCGCGAGTCAAGTACTACCAGCCCGTGTATCGCGTCTTCGCGCTCTTTATCATTCTAGGCAGCGTGCTGCTGACTATTACCTGACACCGGATACTCGGGAGAGCTATATCTATGGCTTCACGATTCTCACCGCGGTCGGCACGGGCCTCACGCTCCAGCTGGGTTTACGCCGTCGCCAGCCTCAAGGCCCCCGGCCAGGAAGGAGGCGCGCTCTGCCTGCAGAACTTCGCTCAGATTGGCGGCTCCGTCATCGCCCTCGTTATTGCTGGCCAAGCCTTCCAGACCTATGCACAGAGCGGGCTAACCGCGGCCCTTGCTGGCACCGGCTACACTACCGCCGACATCCAGAGCATCGTGACTGGCGCGCAGAGTGCTCTATTCCAGAACCTTGACGCCGAGCACAAGATGACGGCCATCCTGGCTTTTACCAAAGCCATGCAGAAGGTGTTCATTCTGGTGTGTGTGGGTGGCGGGACCCATCTGGTTGCCAGCCTCTTGATGAAGGGGGAGAAGCTTGCAGTGTGATACTTGACGGGGTCAGTTGTATAGTTTCAGGGACTTGTGATCATACCTTCCCTCAACCCTAATTGTTCTCAACAATATTCTCTAAAGGAAGTCCGAAGAAATACACATTTTGTGCGCCGGATCTCCTGAGCGGGAGGATCGACGACATTCCCGTGTACAGTACTATCTACCCTAATTCGCCTTGTAAACAGAAACACAAGGTGCCTTTCTTCCATGCACCGCGCAGATTCAGCGTGCCACGAATGTTCGACATTATGGATTTCTCTCGACCAGCACCAGATCCGCCCGAAGCCCGACGGCGATTCTCCCTCAGTCGCCCAGGCGCAAGCGTCGCGCGAACGTCGCTGTGGCGGCTTCCAGTGCCTCGGCCGGGGTGAAGCCACACTCAGACATCAGTAAGCCTAGCTCCTGGTGTAGCGTCCGGCCGTATCCGGTTCCCACTGCTGGAATATGGGCGTCGCTCTCCCTAAGACGAAAACGTGAGTCAGTGAATGGGGCAGCCACTCGGAGTCGGCCACCGGGAGAAAGGCGTAAGAAAGTCGAACTCACACCACGATATCGACCCCTGCCGCTTTGAGGGCTCGCACGGTTTGGTAGGCATAACCCACTGTGCATGGAGGGCGCGCCAGACCCATACAGGCGCAGAAGGCTGTCTTGACGGGCGGGGCAAGCACACGCTGAATGCGCGGGTCCTGCGCGTAGCGTTGCTGGAGGGCATGTCCTTCATGGGTCACGCTCCCGAGGCAGCTGAGAGTCGGGTTGCAGTGTCTTTACACTTGGATAGGGGGTCGTGACGGTTAGTCTCGTTCTACCAAGTTATTGTGGGATCGGGGTACAGACGCATCATTCAGCCTGTAGGCGTCGATAACCTCCTGCGGAGGTGGCGCGTCTCGCAGAATGTATGACTCATGCCATCCACCCCCAACCTTAGCATGTCGATGAAATACTTGAGCACTTTGACAGTTGTGCCAGCGCCAGAAAGCCGTGAGCGTGCGCCCCGGTCACGATGCGTTGCTGCAGAGCGAGGGATGGCACGGGGGGTTTCGACCGCTAGACTGACCCCGTCTTCATGAAATAACTTGATGTAATCTGCATCGCGACGGCGGGCCGCAAGATAAGCATCAATGTCGGATTGGGAGCGGAGATCGGGGTATCTGGCCAGAAGGGCGTGTGTCTATATGTGTAGGGTGGGGGTTGCATCGGGTTAGGGCTGCCACATTGGCTTAAAGGGGATGGGTAGAAGGAGCAACGCACCGTCTCATCTTGGGTCACGTGCACTCAGCAGAACTTCCGGCCAGCTAAATCATTTATACACAAGATGACGAGTCAGCAACATGGATAGAGCCTTCAAATCCAGAACCTTACCCCCCGCGATGGTTGCTGGCTGGCTGGCGGTCCGGAAATCTGCAGCGTCTGGGTCCTCCACCGCTGCACGGCGCAGCTCCGGCACGAACTGCGCCTCCAAGTCATATCGCAGACGGTGGTCACTCCAAAGCCCAGAGACTGCCGCAGCGGCGCGGTCTGTCGCCACACATGAACGTGTGCCGTCTATGAAACCGGGCAATAGCGTGGGACCAGGGCGAGGAAGGACTATGGTGGAGGCATAGGAGCGTTTGCATCTCAGCCTGATCTGACACGGCCGTGACATTCCCATTCTGCACCAGAATACTCCCCTGAGATACCTCAGGTAGTAGCTGAGGCTGGTCCATAGGCTGCAGGCTCAATCTCTGGTGCAATTTCTGTGAAGGCTGAACAGTCCCAGGTTGTACCGTGCAAAGATATCATCCCATGATGCAGTCAGTGGCTTTCTCTGCCCCATTCCAGGGAGCCACATTCTACGGAATTAGGTTTCATGCCGACGTCTAACAGTAACAGCCATCTTCATGGCACCTTGGGCACATGTTTCAATTAGCCAGCCTGTGGAGCTCGCTGAATCTTACCGATGGTCACTTCCTAGCAGTCACGATGGCGGAACGGATCCACCACTATCCACTCCTCCCTGATCTGCAATAAACGTACGTACTGTATATGTGTACAAAACCTCGCGCAGCTGAAGCTTAAGCTTAAGCGCGGCTCCGACCCCTCCAGGCACTGCTGATGTCGTTCGTGACAAGATACTAGGTTAAGGCAGGGGAATGTACCGGGTTGCCGGTACCTCGGCACGGAAAAGGAAAATTATACATCTGATAGCGTGACTAGTAGCCAGTGCTAAATCATTACACACCCACATTTAGGGGGATCGATCCAAAGAAGCATCTTGAGTTGGAATACTTCTTCCGTTTGAACATTCAGTAACACCGTGTTGCTGAGACACAAAGAAAAAAAAAAAAGAAAAAGAAAGTCGGAAGAATGAGACTAGGTAGCTCTGCTTGTGCAACATGAGCAGTCCGTAGGTAGGTAAGTTGTTTTGGCCCGCCTAACACTATCCCCGTTCATGCCGGCTCTACCATCTGAGGCGCATGTCTCAGCTCTGCCTACTAGTCCTGAAAGGTTCAAGTTGGCTAGGCTGGGCTGGGCTCCTCCTTATTTTGTCTCTTCGGGAATTGGAAAAGGTCTCGAACGCGGTCAAAGATTGCACGCTACGCTTCTCACTAGAGCCCTTGCGTGGTTTGTCTTGTCTCAGTGCTCGTATCGCCAATTGCCATTTACCTTTCTGCTGCTGCTGCTGCTGTTGTTGTTGTTGTTGTTGTTGTTGTTGTTTTCCCCTCTCACCGCTGAAGTTCAGTGTAATTGGGAAGAAAAGGGGGGTGGGGTGGGATGGGGTAACACACAAGACAGAACCAGATCTTTTGACTCAGTGGTTACGATGGTCCCTGTCTCCCTGACTCCCTGCTCTCTAATCTCGTTGTATCTTGCCCTAAGGAGGAAGGGTAGCAGAGCAAGAGACATCAATCCCCACAGTAAAACCAAGGAGCGGTGGTATTCTTCTCGATCCGGTGACTGGTCGTGTGGACAGTCGTGTGGGGATATGTTGCCCAACTGTCCACTTAAAACAGATTTCAGCTTGTTCCTATCAGTGTAACTGAGTGTAACTGGTAGACCGCGGAGGAGGGTCGTTGGGCTGGAATGTCTTTTCGAGGGGGGGGGAAGGCAACTAGATCAGATCAACCCTAAGTGCTAGAGGAAAGACCACTAGCTAGCCTCAGGCACGCACCAAAGGGCCCGGCTGGAATCAACCTACCCTACTGTGCAAAGTGTTTTCTGTATACCTAGGAAGTACAGCTGGTGGGAACGAGCACCCTTTATGAAGCAAACATCAGTTGAGGTCACCTTCCGAATCTAAACGTAGGACCTTGCGAGACCTCGGGCTTCTTGCAAAAAGAAAAAGGAGATATCCGATTAGGAATACAAGTGCGTATCTAGTCTCTACCAACAGAGCAACTACCGGCCTACAGCTACACGTGCGTTGCGATTGATTACCCGGCAAGAAGATAGACAAACAGCATAATAAGTTGTACCAAAAAGCTGACTGTCCTAAGGTCAAAGTTGGTGACAATAACAGATGACACCAGAGCAAGTCATTACTGACAGGAGAAGGAAAATCAACAGCGCACACACCACCGCCGCATCCCCTGCCTCCAATATCAATCCCCCTCACAACAACAACAACAACAACAACAACAACAACAACAACAACAGCAACAACAACAATAACAACAATAACAATAACAACAATAACAATAACACAACAGCACCGCTCTCCATCACCATCAGCGCTTCCAAGCATCCGTCAAGTAGGACAGGGTCGCAAAGTCCTGAGACTCTACTCTGATTTCCGAATTCCCTATCCATCACGATCTGCATCTATCAGCTTTTGCATGATTTGTCTTCGTCGCTCGCAAGAAATCAATCCATCCTTACCAGGGCTCGAGGTTCTTCACTTTCCTTCAGTGGTAGAACTACCAGATGTATTGGTGGTGGTAGTGTTGGTGGTTGTGGTGGTGGTGGTGGTGGTGGTGGTGGTGGTGGTGGGAGGACTGGGCTCAGGGGTCGAGGAGCTCGCCAAGGGGGATCTCTCAAGGCTGACCCTGAAACCCAATTTATATCGCCCAAATCTAATGGATGAGTCGCTGCTCGCAATCCTTTCGGTGTTTTCGGAGTTGTCAGACATTATGTGTTGGGACTGGGTTGGGGATATGGAGGATGGAGGTGATTCCAAACAGAAGGACGCGTTGCAAGGAGGCTAGGTAAATGATGAAAGAGCAACAAATATGCGAGCAAAAGATAATAACCGCGTCAGAGATGGGATCGGGCTCTCTTATAGACTGGATCAAGATACACAGGAGAGGGGGGAAGAGAGAAGAATAACTGTTCAAGGTCTTGTGTCCTCACCCACAGCTGCCCGTCCCCTTTCCACACAGCTGACCTCCAAGTCCATGCTACAGTCGGTCTATCTGCCTGAAAAGTTATCATATTGGAGCCGGAATGACGAAAGAGGGCGCATCCAGACCGACCCCGGGCTGTCACATCAAAGCCTGCAATGGAACGCCCCGGTGGATCCTGAAGTGTTCATAGAGGGATCGAATCTCAATACAAACTTTTACACAGCCACCACGGCTACAGCTCTGGTGGCTCAAGGTTTTACACTTAGGCGTATGGCTCTTGAAACATTCTCAGAATCGACACGGGCTCGCCTGGATAGTCCGTTCACGCTGGGTAGCGACGTCGGAGTCTTAGACAAGCGCGGACACATCATGAATCAAAGGATAAGGGCGGTGAGGAAACGTCATACTGGAAGATTTGTATTGAGGCTCGATTAGCTAGACAACAGAAATGTCACTTTTGATGACGCCTCTGAGAGAGGTGGAAGATGTTTGGATTCTGACTACGTCAGGCTAACTGCGAGAACTAGCTGAGGCCACCGAGATGGGCGGTGAACGAGCAGCCTCAGGCAAGGCTGCAGGCTGCAGGCTGCCGTCAACTTTCGTGTAGACAGATCATGCTACGATGGAAGCTTTCATACAAGGGATGTCTGTTAGTAATGCCCGGATTCAATTACATCTTTGAGTTGAGCACAGTAATAGTTCTCGAGAGATAGAGTGAAAGAGCATTGAGTTGGAACCGAAAGCAAACGAGTGAACAGACGGGCATAATAGCAGAGACCGTGGAGAGTCAAATGTACGAAGATGAGGTTCAACAGGCCGGTGCAATGGCAAAGGTTGGGCAGCAGCCAAAACAAAGAAAAAGAATCAAAGGCGGGAAATCAAATGACAGGGGAGTTGGTACAGATCTATGAGCTGGAACAGCGAAAAGAGAGAAAAGCTGAAATAAAGCACAGGACACAGGAGGCAAGAGAAGTACTTCTCGAATGCGGAGTACAACAGCACAGCACTGAGTCAGGAGGCTCCCAGGCCCAACATCTCGTGAAGCTTGCTCAAGCCTTGCAAGTCTCCAGCCATGGTATCTTTCAGCTTCTTGTCGATCCAGCCCCAGCTGGCGCCGCCTTCGAAATCGATCAGCCAGGCGTCGCCTTCGCCATCAATCACCACATTTGCCGCCTTGACATCTCCCCAGCAGAGACCCTCCTGATGCAGAGTTTGCACGGCCTCGGAGACCTGGTCATACCACCTCTGACGGTCGGCGAGGCTTATCTCGCAGTCACCGAGAATCAGACGATCCAGACTGCGGGGGGACGGGATGCACGTCATGAGAATCCCTTCGAATATCGTATCCAGGCCGATGAGCCCTTCCAGCTTCGGGGCCCGGAGAGTGGGGTGTCCTTTCCTGCTCAACGCCTCCAGCTTCCGCAACATCGAGATCTCTCGGACAAACTCCGGATCTCTGGCAAGCTTGTAGACATAGGCCCGCCCGTTGATGGTGACTTCGTGGACCTGATTCGTCAACAAGCGAAACCGCTCGACGTCCGACAAGGCAAAAACCGGAACGTCTTTGACATCCTCCTTGACTAGGCCCCAGTCGACTCTCATGGGCTCCGGCTGAAACGGTTCGAATCCGGGCGTGTCTGCATCCTCCCCCGGAACCAGCTGGAAAAGCCGGGAGCCGTGTTTCAATTCGGACTCAAACGTGTCTCTGGCCTCGTCCGTCTTGGTCGCCGTGACGACCGGTCTACAGGCCGATTCCAGCCCGCCGAGGAGTTCCACCCAGGCCTGCTTCTTGTAGAGATCGAGGTAGCGATGGACAATTGTTTCCTCGGAACTCTCTTGCGGGTCGTCCGGAGACGGAGGAGGAACGATGATCAGGATGCAGAACTCCGTCTCGCGAAGGGTGGTCTCGTCCTGAACTGCGAAACCTACAGCAGCCACCGCGAGAGGGCCCGGACTTCCGAAATGGCCAATTTGGCTGACCCTGAGGCCTGGACGTAGCGGTGTGCCAGGACCGGAGGTAGAGGCAGAGAAGCGCATCTGAAAGTCCTCTAGAGAAGGATGAATTAGCCACAGGTCCGTTCAGCACTGCTGTAAACAACCCACCCCAGTCCGCCTGGTCATCGAACCCGCTGCCACAGTATTTCAAGTTGGCCCAGAATTGAAAGTCGAGGCCGACGTTGTCTTTGGGCAATTCAGCTGCCATCGTGTCTGATTAGAAGACAAGGTACGTGGTACGTAGTGAAAGCCGACGTAGAAGATAATCAGGGTTGTTTGAAGAAATATCGTTGGAAGAAACACACCGCAGAGGATGCAGAGGATGCAGAGGAACAGCAGCGCTTTTAAAAAGACATGGAAACAGGGGTCGTTCAGTCATTCATTATGCTGATACAGCAATGAAAATTTGACAAAGGCACTAGAAAGGAAAAGGTAAATAAGAACGCGGCTTCGCGAGATGGCTTGCTCGAGGGTAAATCTCGTATACACTATCTAAGCTGGGAGAGTGCAGTCACCGCATAAGATACTTTTGCACACAGCTTGTTGACTAGAAATCAATAGTTAGTATTAGTTACCCAGTGAAGATACATGTCTTGCATAACTAGATAGGCATCACTAGATCCGCTGAGGCTTGCAGCCCAAGGTGGTGAGCCGAATTAGATCGAGCCGCCGTCTTTGTTGGTGGCGGTGACAAAGATATTTTTCAAAGGTTGATGTATACTGTTTCCGTAAATAGTACATACAGTATGTGATTCACTCTTTACAGTGCAAACCCCTCTGATAGTTGTCTGACTAGACCTGTTTCTGACAATTTTACCCTGTAATATTCACAGAAGTGGACATCAGGAAAGACAACAGCCGGAAAATACGAGAGGAAGAGGAAAGTGTAATATAAGACTGGAATGTCTTTGACAGTTTGACTGGTTTCATCAATCTGAAGGAGGAAAATAAATGCCTCTCTGCCATCACCCGAGACACGGGATAAACAAATGACCTGTCAAGGATGTGTGACTATGTGAGGCTATCTGTGGGGAATTATCAATATACTTGGCGGGGGGTAAGCAGCCCGAGCTATGTAGTCTGTGTATGCCTTCAGTTATCCATGGGATCGTGTAGTATGATACCTGAAGACTATTTATTTTTATTATTTTAATTTTCCTTTTTTCTTTCTTTTTATTTATTTATTTATTTTTTATTTTTTGCAAAGCGCTAAGTAACTTTCCAACTCGGGCTCCAAGCCGAGAGTAACTTACCTCCTACCAGGCTGTAGTTAGGACTCAGGGCAGGTGGTACTTATGAGGGCCAGAGCATACTGACTGCTGATTGGCTTTCGAAGTTGTAGTCACGTGAACCGCGCTTAGCCGAATGGCGGAGGGGGGTGTACCCACCTTAAGGTAGCAGGTCTGGCTCAATACATGCATGGTGATGCTCCAAAGGGTCCTTGGGTCCTTGGGTGCTTGAAAAGGTGCATCCACTTCAGGCCCTCGTACCTAGTAGTAGTAAGTTGTCCACTGTGCCGTGAACCATGGGCCGGGGGCTTTAGGGCTACGTATACCTCAAAAAGTAACTAGTTGGGACTGTCCCCCCGAGTCACCGATGTGGATACCCAATACAGTAACCTTGAAGCTGCAGCTGATCTACATACTAAGTCATCATTCTCATAACAACATATACATATACATAGTAGTACAGCTGGCTGCACCGACCTGCGTCAGCCGCGTGGGCCTGTGCCCGGTGGACTGGCTGCGGGCTAAGCCGCAGCGATAGGAGCGCTAAGTGTCGCTTAACCCGTGTGCTCGTGTACAGATCCATAGCGCGGGACATACGAAGAGGCTCTGCGAAGGAATCAAGCCTCAGCTGCTGCGAATTGGTTACCCAAATTGATTATAGGGATCATCCGTAACTGACCGGGATCCTCATTTCAATGCCATGGTCTATCTTATCCAGTAGTGGGTCAAGCTGCCTCGGAGGGTGTTGCGAGATGACTATATAAGGCGGTTCTCTTCTTCTTCTCTGAGATCCTAGAATCCAGACAAGCATCTCCAACCCCAATCTCCACTACTTACCAATCCATTGCAGATAAACCATGGGCTCAATACAACCCAGCCTCGAGAGCCTGGGCGCGACCATCGCCGCCCTCACCCACTCTCTCGCCGGTCAGCTCAACGCTGCGGGGCAACCGCAGCCATCCTTCGCAGTAAATGCGCCAGCCGCCATGCCCCAAGACCCAAAAATCCAGGACGCTCGCATGAAGCTCCTAGAGACTCTTGAAACCCTGCACCATTTAGTCACGGGACCCAGCGACTTCTGGTTCCAACAGAGCATGTTTGTAAGTTCTCCCCTCCCCTCCCTTCCACACTCTGTCCACCGGAATCTCGATCCTAACCCAACAAGCCGAACCACGCCCTCCTCACCTTCGACGTCTTCAACACCTTCAATCTCTGGAGCGCAGTGCCCCTCCACGGCTCCGCCAGCTACGCCGACATCGCCCGCACCACCGACCTCCCCGAACCGATCGTGCGCCGCTTCCTCCGGCTCGCCTTCACCATCTTCGTCTTCGCCGAGGAAGGGTCCCCCGGCAACGAACGGGTCGTGCACACCGCCGCGTCCGCGCACATGGCGCGCTATCCCTACGCACGGGCCTTCCTCGCGCATAATCTGGAGGATGTGCGGCCCGCCGCGACGGTGGGGGTGGAGGCGTTGAAGAGGTGGTTTGTGGGGCGGCATGGGGCGGAGGTGCCGGAGGAGATCACGGCGTGCGCGATCCCGCTGGCGACGGATCATGATGGGCGGCGGCGCGGTGCGGATCTGTGGGAGTTTTTGGAGAATTTTGAGCGGTTGCCGGAGCAGCCGAGGGGGTTTCGCGCGAAGCGGTTTGCGGAGGCGATGCAGGGACTGCGCGAGACGAGTGGGGTGATGACGGAGGAGGTGTTGAGGCGGTTTGATTGGGGTGGGTTGGGGCATGGGGCTACTGTTGTGGATGTAAGTTTTTGCCATTGCCAGTGGTTCAGGGGAAAGAATGAGTTGTACGTTGGCGGTGCTAACGCAGTATAGCTCGGAGGGTCGGCAGGACATATCAGCGTCATTCTCGCCGAACACTATCCCAAGCTCAACCTGATCGTCCAGGATCTCGCTTCGGCCCAGTCGGCCTTTGAGGCGAATATCAGCTCCACGCCGTATGCATCCCGCATCACGTTCCAGACTCACAATTTCTTTGATCCGCAGAGTTGTCCCGCGGATGTCTTCCTGCTCAAGTCGGTCCTGCATGACTGGTCCGATAAGTATGTGCGGCAGATTGTCCGGAACTTGCTGGGGGTGCTGAAGCCGGGGAATCATCTGCTTGTCTTTGATTTCGTGGTACCGGCGGAGTATGACGATGCCCAGAACAAGCTGGCGATTCCATTGCCGGTCAGGAAATCGGTCGCGGCTATGGATCTGCAGATGCACGTGGCGTGTAACTCAAAAGAACGGACCATCCAAGACTGGACGGATGTGATCAAGCAAGCTGATACTTGCTTTGACTTGCGGGAGGTTCATCTTCCTGCCGGATCGCCGCTGGGGATGCTCGACTTTGTGTTTCAGGGATGATAGATCGCATCATAATCATCCAGAAAGCAGAGCCTGGGCTTTGCTACCTCTGCTATGAGACAGTATACCTATTAGTTCGTGTTGATAGAATTGAGCGTGTTTTGTCGGATGTTCTTTGGCTTACACTTTTGACTCGACCTACCTTCCTAAGCAATATTCCTATTGCTACATCAAGCTTCACCTGTCTTCATCTGTCCTCACCTCATCAATTTATGCTCGAATCCGGATTATGTGACAGACCCTGACCTCCAAGTATATTTCCATCTGTAGTTGGCCATTGTAATCATGCTTGACGCCATGGGAGTCTCTCCGTCGACCTCTGCCGCAGAAGGCTCAGGTATTCCCCAGCATCGCAGCTATACATATACCAGATCAGATACAAACCCTCATACGAGAAGAAACCTGACTTGGCGTGGACGACACAACAGGCTGACTCGCTAACCAGCACACTATACAGATTCTACTCCCGGTCGCAGATGCTCGGTCCTAGGCCGAAGAGGCAGGGTCGTGATACCCTGCGGCAAGACAGATGCGGCTGCAGAGCGTTGCGCAAGAGCAATCAGCCGGTCGATTTGCCCTCCGAACCATGGCCGGAACGCTTCCAGGAGGTCTACCACTGCATAGCATGGCTGGTCCACGCTGGAAGCCGTACGAGGGGAGGCTGAAACGGGCGATGTCTGGCGACGGAATCGATCGCCCTCCTGCAGGCCCGAGTCTGGGTGGGTCATGACCTTGGCCCAGCTAGGACTGCTGCCTGCAAGCCAGGAGTGCGGAATGACGAGTGTTGCACCGTGCTGCAGCAGCAGTGCAATGGACTCGACGTGGGCTTGTATCATCTCGGCGTCAGCGATGAGACAATCAACCAAACAGCCTGCGGTCCAGGCGAGGAATCGTGCCCAGACGGTCCCTCCTCGGTAGTATTCGTTGGGGTTGCCTCCGTTGTCGAGCACGAGGCGCACAAGCTCAGGGCTAACCAACGAGTATCCAATACCCAGGGAGCCACGGCGCCGGCAAAATTCCGGTCGGAGAACATGGTCCAGGATCGGCCGGCCAGCCTTGTTGCGGATTTGCGCTGGACCCAGACACGCCCTGACATAGCCCCGCAAGTCAAAGTCGATGGCGAGGGTCAGAAAACAGCTTTGTTCGTCCGCCCATTTGCCTGCCAATCTGCCTATGTACCAGCCGACATCCATGCTACTGTCGTGATTGCTCGCTGATAGGAGAGCTTCCATGACTGGGTCCAGCATCCGGGCTGCTCTGATGGCTGGGGCGGATTCCCTCCATCCGGGCACTGCTAGTGCGCTCGCCAGATAACTAGCAATACCAAAGGCCAACTCCCGGTTACTTCCAACAGTCATCAGGGCTTGAAGTTGGTGGATTCTGGCGTTGACCAGGTACCGCCTTGAGTCAAAAGGCCCGCCGGTGTATTGATGCAGTAATTCCTGAATCTCGGGAGAACGAAGAAAGTCCCGGCAGCTGCGATGTAAGAAGCTGATAGTCAGCATAAAGGTGTGTCCCATTTCTGCCGACTCCATGATCTGCGTACAAAGCGCAGAATTGAATTGATGACCATCAAAGACCTCCAGAAACTCCGGAGTAGTAAGGTCAAGGAAACCAGAAAACTCTAAATCAAATATGCACTCCAGCAGTCCCATACAGCGACTGTTGAGCCTGCGGTACGTAGAGTCGAGCATGAATTCAAGTCCTTCACGATCAGCCAGATCCAATATGGGGTAGTTTGACGGGCTTGTGTCCGCAAAGTCAAGGACAGATTCGTCAATGAACAAGAGATCAAGCATCCGCAGCGGGTGGAGTGCGGTGAACGCGGTCTCCTCATGTAATGCGATCTGGATCATTTTCGACGCTTCTCGTCTGTGCAGGGGAGGAATCAAATCAATCATCCTACGGAAGTATTCATCCAGGTCAGCGGGGATGCCGTTGAGCTTTCGCGAGAGGGCAGCCATATTATCGCCATCCTGGAGAGCTTCAAGTAGGTCGCGAACCACGAGCCGGACCCATAAGAAGACTCCAGCAGCCTTTTCAGTCACCGCCAAGATTAGTCTGTCCGCCTCGGCTTTCTGGCGAAGGTGAAGATATCGAAAGCGGGGGGATTTGGTAAGCTCGGTCTTGATATATGTGCTGATATCCTGATAAGTAAGGTCCTCTAATCGCAGTTGCGGTGTGCTGTTGAAGGCATCTCGGAATACATTCCATGGCCGGCTTGACAGACATATCTTCACACTCGCCATTCCGTTCAACCCAGTCAAACTCCGGATCACATCCCGCCGCAACTCGTCGGTGCCTTCATATTCATCCAGGCCGTCGATAAGAAGGAGGATTCTGTACCGGTCTTGCAGGACGCCAATACACAGATGAAGTAAACTCAGTAGCTCAGACTGGGTCCATTCCACAATACTCGAGCCCCAAGTTCGGGGATTGTACTTTGGTCCAAGTGTCATGATGCGAGCTATAAGCTCAGGTTGCTGTTCGAGTATCTGGGCAAGCAAGGAGCGCACGAGTCCTTCGAAGGACTTCTGTAGCGCATTCCCTGCGTTCCAGAAGTAATATGAGGCTCGTATAACTGTGGACCCACTTGCCCAGGGAAGCATATGCTCCTCAGATTTCAGATTTTGGTCCAGGTAGCGCATCAGGGTCGACTTTCCCGCGCCCGGTTTACCGGAGATCCAGTAGATCGGTTCGGTGTCCGTGGGAGCAGATAGCCAAGCCACCACCGAACTCGGGTTTTGCTGGTGCAGGACCCATCGGTAGGTCTTTTCGTGCGCAGTTCGAATCTGTTGTGCACGTTCCTGCATTTGCGGGAACTGGATGCTAGCCAAGAACATTTGATGGGTTTCTGCTAGTCTTCTTTGTTCCTCCAGGTTCCTTAGATGCTCTTGTCGATCGAGAATGCCATGTATCTGACGTTGAAGGTAGTCAAGCTGATGCCGATGCGAGACAAGAAGCTGAGTCTCTGCCGCTTGGTTCATGCCGGTTGCCTGCACCTGCTCCAGAACCTGGCGTACATCCGCTCGGATCAGCGCACAACGTTCCTCTAGTGCAGATAAGACGTTGTCCTCTAGCTGAGCCGTAGACTGGAGAATCTGATCCTGGCCCGCCACGGTGGCTTGGGTATCTCTACCACGCACTTAGTGACACTACAGTGAAGCATCGGTCAGGGACATACTTGAGGTAGAAGAGCAGTGCGGTGTTGAGATTTTCCCGAGCCCGAACGACTGCTTTAGACATAGCTTCCATGCGGTCGCGATTCCAGAGCGTCTTGATGCTTGCCCGGATGGACTCCAGCAATGCATGTGGGGTGCGGAGCTTCAGCTTGTTCAGCAAGTCTACGAACTCGATCGACAGACGAAGGCACTCTTCATTGGCCTGTTTCAACCGAGCCAGCGCCGGGGTAAGACTACCTAGCTCGGTGAGATTTGGGATCGAGGCGTGCAGGTCGACATTCAGACTGATCAGGCATTGCAGCACAACTTGCAGATCCTCATGCTCGCGTGGTTCGCCCGTGCTAGCTTTGCGGTAGTTCAGGGTCAGGGTCAGGGTTTTCTGACCAAGCTCGATGACTTGAAGAATGTTACATGCGAGAGAGAAGGCGCTTAAGGGGTCCATACTGAATGTCAGCAATGGGCTCCGAATAGCCCGAGGGATATGTGTATCACAGCCATAGTCGGGGGCGGGGGGCGGGGTAATTTAGTCGACAAGGCTGTGTCTAGTCAATCGGCTGTTTGTTTTTCCGTAGGTATACGTATCAGAACTCGAGCGACGACAGTAAGAAAGAAACCCAGGGTTGTGTGTCCCAGAAGGATGTGGTGGATGAAGCAATGAATGGTGTCTTGGATGCCAGGGAATATCTGCCAACAGATGGGGAGAAAAGGATGTGAATGTGAAAGAGGCGTGAGTGGATGAACCACACAGGCATGTAACTACGGGTATGGAACTTGGTCAAGTACAGTACCGTAGATTCATGCAAACAACACAGATAATAACCGCATTTAGTGGTACATGGATCATGGATCATGGATTGGGTTTTCCCGTTCATTTCCGGGAACCTAGTATAGGTATCTGAAAGGTGATATTGGGAACACTGGCGTGGAACACACTACAAGTCTCACCATAACCCACTATCCATCATCCCTCGCAACTCACCAAGAAACTCCTTGGCTGTGATGCGCCGCTTCCATGTGCCATCGTCCTCCCCCTCTTGCTCGCACAGCGCTTTCGCTAACAGTTCCGCCTGCCTCACAGATAAGCTACTGCCAAACAAATCAAGCAGCGTGGTTTCGACCCGCGACTGTTTCGCAGCATCCACCACACTCTTCCACACCAGCATGCAAAAGTCCCCATCAGACAACATTTTGCTGGAGACCAGCGGGAGAAACGACATCGCCATGGCAAAGACATCCGAGCTCATGGGATCGTGATTCTTGCCGAGTAAGACCTCTGCTGCCGCGTCAGTAGAGCTTCCGATCCCTTGATTTCAAAGACTTACCCTGGGATAAATACCCCACAGTCCCCGCACTACCCCTTACCTCGCGGGCAGGGGTCGCGTAATCCAGATCCGAGAGGAGGACGTGAATGTCCCCCGTCTCGTTCCATCTGTACACCATATTCGCGAGCTTCACATCGCAATGTGCAAAGCCCTGCGCGTGCAGCTGGACCAAGCCTTCCCACATTTGCAGCATAGCAGAGCGAGTCTGCTGCTCTTGCTCTCCCCCCCATGCCAGCCCGGCCGCCCACGAATGCAGACTCCCCTGCATGCGCGGCATGACAATCGCGTAGACCAGCCCATCGGCGGCCTTGTCATCTTCTGGTTGGGGAATGGTTACGATCTCCAGGTAACGGAGCAGGTGATCGCCGTGGATGAGGTCCATTAGCTGAGCCTCCCACAGTAGATGGGGACGGTGTGAGACTTTGATGGCGACATCCTGGGTCTCCTTGAGATTTAGAGAAGACAAAATGCCAGGATAGACGTAGCCACTGGCCCCATGGCCCAGGATCCCTCGCTGATCGATCTCTAACCGGTATCCATCGGTGAAAATCGTGGTTTGGTCTGGGTCGTCGTCCTCCTGGACTCGGGATGCCGGGACCCGGGACCGGAGAACGTCAATGGTTGCTCGGCGGTTGGCGTGACCTGGAAAAAGCCTGTGATGGTTGGTATAGTTCTTGTAAGCCTCCCATGACTCGATGAAGTCAGGAACCTTGTGTCTCTCCTGTTCTTGTTTCGTTGCTAGATGGCTCGATAAGTCTGGGGAAGCAGAGCTCCACGGTCGGCATGCAATTTGTCCGAGCAGTATTAGAGTCAAGCAGATGCCCAGTGGAAGCTGGAATACCAACCAGGAAATTGAGACTGCCATGCTGACGGGGTTCCCTCTCAGTCAAGCGGGAGACAACATTCCGGACCAACGTAGACAGCAGGCATCATAAAGTAGACGCAAAGTAGACGCAAATGCTAAGACGCGACATTCCTATCAAGGTCATCGGGACTGCCTCTTCAGGACCTGCTTTGCTGCATTCAAGTGCCAATTCAGACGTCCATCACAAATCAATAATTGAAGTACTGTAGCCATACCAAGATGCCCGCATCTGATGCTGCCGCGGTGCTGCAGTGGAACCAAAGATCACAGATGTTAAATCCTCAGGGCGGCAAGACGCTCCGCCTCTTGCGAGTCATGCATTTCCCCAAGAATAACCATGAGAAAGAAGCTGAGCATGGCTTGTCGCTGACATGAGTGGCGGCTCATCTCTGGTTGGGTGACGATCCTTGGGGGAAATTCCCCGAGATGCAGCCACCTGCCGCTCAATATTAGATTATTCTGCACTGGCGTTCGAATTAACGATTGATTACCCGGTTCAGCCCGCTTGCGAGAGTATCTATCTCATAATCCAGCAAGTTTGGTCGAGAACTCGAAGTCTATTGGGATACGGTCTGCAGAACTCACCGGTACGTGGCCGCGTAGCTCAGGCAGGGAGAGCGCCCGCCTGCGGCGAAGAGATCCAGCCCGTTCCGGTCGCTTGCTGGTGATAGTTGTGTGATTGATGCAAGGTATGGTGATTTGGCGTGGATGCGCGAGTGGAAGTATGATTTCGATAAATGAAACAGCGTGCTGGTCAACTCGCTTCCAAAGCGGCGAGATGCAGTGCGATGCAATTCAAGAATTGCAAGTATAAGTATGCCTTGAATGTTCCTACATATTTCTCGAATTGCCAGTGCACCACTGTTCATACAGACAATTCTTTCATCTCTCTTCCACTCACTTGCCTACCACAAATCTCCAACAATCACAAGCTTGCTTTCACCAAAATCATGCAGCCAGCCCTTCTGCTGGCACTTCTCTGCGGGCTCGCAGCCGCTCTTCCTGTGGATCAAGGAGCCAATCTTGATAAGCGACTGGTAGTGAGTTAAGCGAAAGACAACGCTAGAGAGGGAAAGCTGACAGTGATGCTGTTATGAAGAGGATCAAAGCCCAAATAGATGCCCATGCAGATATCTAACAGCTATGAATCCAGAGCATCCAGCAGGGCAAACGATCGGTGAGTTGGAAGAACACAAGAATACAAGGAAATATTCGAGAAGGGAAATGCCGGGCTGACAAAGTGCATCACAGCTCCTCAGTGACAGACCTCCGCGATGGCAAAATAGCAAACGACAAGATGTGAGTCTATTGGGAAGTAGTTAGGCCAGGCAGGGCTGACCGTAATTTATGTTGTTACTTAGGGTTTAAATCTGGTTGTTGCTGCCCCTTTTAATCCTCCCGGAGACCACGATTCAAACCTCGAATATGACTCGGCATTTGCTGTGAATATTTATGATAGGGTGTGAGCGTGTGGCTCCCGTTGACCCTGAATATCCTGAGAATCTACCTAAGAACCTACCTGGGAATCTATACAAGAACCTGTCTAAGAACCTAACCTGCCTGAGAACCTGTCTGAATCCCGATCAATACAATCTTATATAATATATGCAGTATAAAGCCGTCGGGTTTATATTCTAGTCCTTTTGCCAATGGTGCAGCGGTTAGCAGCTGGAATGCCTACTCAGGGTTACACTATGATATGATGTAAAGACATGATGTAAAGCCATACCCACCGATTGTGGGTTCAAAACGTTGTATGTACAAAAATCGATCCCCCAACCACTGGGCTAGCTATATGAGATTGTACCGATACCCGTGTGTCTGCCTGGGTACCCCCTCGGCTAAGAGGCTGACCGAATAAAGGAGGGCCGTACTGTTAGAGTATGTGCGTGTAGCTCCTGTTAACTCTGAATATCCTAAGGATGTATCTAAGAATCTATCTAAAAATCTATCAAAAAATCTGTTTAGAATCTGATCTGTTTAAAAACCTATCTGAATTCTAATTAACATAATCTTATATAGTATACACAGTATAAAGCCATCAGCTTTATATCCTAGTCCTTTTGCCAATGATGCAGTGGTTAGCAGCTGGAATATGTACCGAGGGTTATACCATGACACTTTATATTTGAAAGCGATTTGAGTTGTGGTGGTTCTGAATGTATATCTGGTATGATTCTTGGTTGTTAAACTATCTAAGATATTGATATGTAAAGTAGCCTAGTAACCGCATTGTATCACATAGCCGGATTACTCAGCTATGCCAACAATCTTTATAGGCGTCAGCATCGATTAGCTGAGATCTCGATTGGTCCGGGAGACGACAGGTGGGAAAGCAGCGATGTTTATATACATGTCTCAATGTATTCCAGTGCATGAACATATCAGTTTGGCGATTCGTCTGAATTAATTTGTACAGAATATGGAAATGCCCGACTTTTGTATATAACGATGAGGAAGCATCATCAATGCAGAGTACATCCAGTACAGTACAAGTGGGAACGAACACACCCACATCCCACCCTGACAATCCCACGGCAACCAGAACCACCCATCTCGGTTTGCAACGACTACCACTAGTAATACTACTTACTACCTTCCTAGTTATCAAAGCGGCTCGTCTTTCTCCTACCAGAGTCAACTGCAGGTGCCCCGCACAGTGATCGAGTAACAAATTTAGGTTACGTTCGAATTGGGTATGCACTGCATACATGCCTCGAAATCATTGTAATCTAGGAGCAGTACTTGCCAGTCCTTCAACTCACATGCATAATTGACATCAATCATAAAAACGATCCTCATGCAAGACTTCCAGTACCCCGACTTATTTCAGCTCTTGTCCTGCGAGGTCCCATTCCACTTTACTAATCCCCCCATTCCCCATCAGCCACAGCGTCTTCAATTCCGGACCCGTCCAGGCAAAATTCTGAACCGTGTAATTCGTCTGGATGGTGAACAGCAATTCTCCGGATGGATCTATGACGTCCACCCCGTAACCACAGCCGGTAACGATGTAGCCATTTGCGGCCACTTTCAGTCCATCGGGGACAAAGCCAGGTGCGAGGTAGATGGGCCGTTTGTTATAGGCGTGGGCTCCGTCCTGGCTGACGTCAAAGGCATAGATGGTTCTGATGGGTATCATGTCAGTTACCTGAGACTCGAAGCAAGTGATAAGCGAAGAGTTGAGATGATTTACCTTCGCTGAGTCGTGTTGAATGTACTGCCTGGATGGCCATACATCGGGTCGACCGGGGCGCTGACAGCAACTGTGTCGCTAATGTAGACGATTGAACCATCTGGGGTGAAAGCGATACCATTCGGCTGCCCGATACTGTCGTCGACTACAACAACTGCACCAGAAGAAGTGTTGTAACGATAGCTGGCAGCGGGCAGCTGAGGAGGCGTATCGGTTAGGGAATTGAACCAAGAGTATTCTGGAAACAGTTAGCATATGTGTGAGGAAGGGTGTGACGTGCACTCACGAGGATCGGTGAACCAGATATCTCCCGTCTTGGGGTGGACGGCAAGATCATCAACCGTGTTGAAGTAGTAGCCAAAGTAGTTATTGACCAAGCTGACGGTCTTATTGGTCTCTGGATCCAGGGTTCTCAATCCCACGCGCTGCTCGGAACCTCCAATGGAGTTATTGCCACCAGAAGCACCCCAGATGATCTTGCCGTTGTGGAACGTACCACCATTAGGGGCATATACCGGTGGATCGGAGAGGAATTCGGACAATGTGGGGGGATCCTGGTTTAGGTCGACCACAAGCTGCGGTAGATAGCCAGTGGGAGGAGCTAGCTGCGACAAATACAGCTTGTTCTGTGACGCTACATAGACAGGAGCCTCGTGCACAGCCTCATTCACCGCAAAGACATACTCGTAACTGGGGTTGGGTCCTAAAGCCTCGAGACCTTTTTCCTTGTTGTACACAATGAAAGCGGCCGACTTGATGTCGTTCAGCTTGGTACCGTTGGCTACTGTGGTGTCACCAAACGTGGTGGGTGCATCCATTGTAGTTAGATTGCGGAAAAAGTGGTAGCTAATTATGCATCAGAAGGGCTGTCTACATTTGGACTATGTGCCACGAGTCACTCACGGTAGGACATTGCCATAGCGATTAATGCATACCACAGAGGGGCCGCAGTCCTCTGAGATGGGCTGTGTGACTCCTGTTTGGGCACGAGCCAGTCCGGGGGCAAGGAAGACTAAAGATAGAAGAATCGACTGCATGATGACTACCGGACTAGACAACAAAAGTGGTAGTCCCAGCTATACGTTGAGAGACCGAACATCCAATTTCATGGCATTGAACCTGATAGACTTGAGCGGGCCAAGGCTGGTACTTATAGATGAGGACCATGCATCCCCAAATGGAGGGGTGACCCCAAAAAAGAGAATGGTGCCTGGGATCAGCACCGACACCGATGAACCCACTTCTCTGTATCCGAGAGAATTCCGTGGGGGTGAAGAAGGGCCAAATGTGGGTGAGAAACCGACTTGGCGGGGGGTTGGACGATCCGGAATACAATAGAAAACCTCGGCTGCGGGGATGCGTGGCGAGGGATCGGGCCTCGCGGTTCGCCCGAGTATCTGAAGTTATTCACCCAAGCTAACCACAACACAGTAAGACTGTGGACTATCAAGAGTCTTAGCTTGAGGGGGTTTAGTTGCAACTTGGCAGATCGAGCAAATGATTCGGAGTAACTCCGATCTGGTAAAGCAAACGATCCGTTGCCAAGGCAAAAGCGCGACATCCCTTGCAGAGCAATCCGTCGTACGGTAAGTGCAGACTTGCAGCAACGAGGGTCCTCAATGGCGAATACTTAACGAGCTGATGTCTTCGATGCTGCCTGTTCCGTCACCTGCAGATGCAGTCGACGTCTCCTTTGCGTCCGGGTGAATATCCGAATTGTCTTCCTTTTCGCCCAGCGAACGCTGGATGAGCTTGGCTTTCATGACAGCGCCCTTGTAGCGTTCGTCCACATCGTTGACGGCCTCCTCGTCGTTCACCATCGGCAGAGAAGCTGGGTCGACTAATTCGAGCAGCGTGTCGAGATTCTTGGCCAGTCTGGAGCTCGTCACCAGGTTTGGCATTTCCTTGCAAAGCGATGGGTCCAGCAATCCTTCGCCCGGATTGTCACTCGTCCCATCCTCCGTTTGCGACTCCGAAACGGCCTTGGCAGAGACCGACGGGTCGGAGTCTGCTACTCGCTGAGCCCAAACCAACGCCTTGCCGTACAGTCTTCCGATCTCGACGAACTTTTCGAACCCTTTCTCGACGGCGAAAACACTTCCTTCGGTGTAGCCAGCCAAGGCGCCATCTGCGGAGCCCAGGTTGAATCCTTCTTGATAGAATTCTTCCTCCAGGTCCAGGAGACTCTCAAGCAGATTACCGTCCATTGCGGATTGAATTTTCCCCTCTTTTTCCTGATGGGTGGGGGGAGAGCCGGAGGTCGTGGGTAAAGACAATTGAACGAGGTCGAACGTAGATAAAGAGAACGCAATAAAGGAAGTCAACCTAGGAGAATAATTGACGCGGAGAGCAGTCCAGAAGAAAAAAAATAATCGGAATAAAACGAAGGGTACGATAGCGAATTGGTAGACAGATAAATAGATAAGCAAGCGCTGCGGAGAAAGAAAGATCGGAAGAAGCGATGAATCATCCTCCGGCAGCGGCGCAGAGACACAAACTGCTCTGCTTTGCTCCGGCGTGCAACTTTTACTTTACCCCGCCAATATCTTCACCTCCCCTCCTCGTCCTCCTTTCCCTCCTTCTCTCCCCTCCACAAAATGGCGTCCGACGATTCCAAAATCCTTCCTAAGAAGGGTCAGCGCAATATCCTGGTCACCAGTGCCCTGCCCTATGTGAACAACGTCCCCCACTTGGGTAACATCGTTGGTTCCGTGCTCAGCGCCGATGTTTTCGCCAGGTCCGTCTTGTCCTTCATCCTCTTATCTCCCTCTTTCTCCCCCCCCCCCGCCCACTCATCGATTGCCTGATTTTCTCGATCTAACCTGACAGTCAACCAGATACCACAAGGCCGCCGGACACCAGACTCTCTACATCTGTGGTACCGATGAGTACGGAACCGCGACGGAGACCAAGGCGTTGGAGGAGAAGGTGACCCCGGAGGAGCTGTGTGCCAAGTACAACAAGATCCACCAAGAAGTATACGAGTGGTTCGAGATTGGCTTCGACCACTTCGGCCGCACCCCGACGAAACGCCACACCGAGATCTCCCAGGCCATCTTCAAGCGACTGTACGACAACGGCTACCTGACCGAGAAGACCGCCGAGCAGCCCTTCTGTGAGACGCACAACTCCTTCCTGGCCGATCGCTACGTCGAGGGCGAGTGCCCTCGCTGCCACTACGACGACGCCCGTGGTGACCAGTGCGACAAGTGTGGCCACCTCCTCGACCCCTTCGACCTCATCAACCCCCGCTGCAAGCTCGACGGCGCCACCCCCGTCCGCCGCGAGACGAAACACATTCACCTCCTCCTGGACAAGCTCCAGCCGCAGATCGAGGAATGGTCCGCCAAGGCCATTGAGAAGGGCGACTGGCCCAAGAACTCCCGCGTCATCACCGAGTCCTGGTTGAAGGAGGGTCTGAAGGACCGCGGTATCACCCGTGACCTGAAGTGGGGTGTGCCCGTGCCCCTGGAGGGCTTCGAGAACAAGGTGCTATACGTGTGGTTCGAGGCGTGCATCGGCTACCCCTCCATCACGGCCAACTACACGCCGGACTGGGAGCTCTGGTGGCGCAACCCGGAGGACGTGCAGCTCTACCAGTTCCTGGGTAAGGACAACGTGCCGTTCCACAGCGTCATCTTCCCCGGTTGCCAGATGGGCACGGGCGACAAGTGGACGATGCTGCACCACCTCAGCACGACCGAATACCTGAACTACGAGGGCGGCAAGTTCAGCAAGTCGCGCGGCATTGGTGTCTTCGGCAACAACGCCAAGCAGACGGGCGTGCCCCCCGACGTGTGGCGGTACTACCTGCTCAAGAACCGGCCCGAGACGGGCGACACGCAGTTCGAGTGGCGCTCCTTCGTGGACAGCAACAACAGCGAGCTGCTGGCCAAGCTGGGCAACCTGGTCAACCGGGTGATCAAGCTGGTGATCGCCTCGTACGGGTCAGTGGTGCCCGAGTTCACCGTGCCGGAGTCCTTCCAGCCCACCCTGGACGAGGTGACCGCCACGCTGCGCCAGTACGTCGAGGAGATGGAGGGCGCCCACCTGCGCGCCGGTGTCGTCAGCGCCATGAAGCTGGCCGAGATCGGCAACGGCCTGATCCAGGCCAACCGCCTGGACAACTCGCTCATCGCCAACGAGCCCGAGCGCGCCGCCGCCGTCGTCGGCACCGTGCTCAACCTCATCCACCTGCTCGCCAGCGTCTTCGCCCCCTACCTCCCCGCCACCTCCAAGTCGATCAACGAGCAGCTCGCCGTCCCCTTCGGCCTGATCCCCGCCCTCGACGACCTCAAGGACGGCTGGAAGCCCGACGCCGTCAAGCCCGGCCACAAGATCGGCAAGGCCCAGTACCTCTTCTCCCGCATCGACCCCAAGAAGGCCGACGAGTGGCGTGACCTCTTCGGCGGCTCCCAGGCCGATCGCCAGAAGAAGGAGGAAGAAGCCGCCAAGATCGCCGCGAAGAAGGCCGCCAACGCCGCCGCCAAGGCCAAGAAGAAGGAGAAGAAGGCCAAGGAGGCTGCCGCCGCCGCGGCTGCTGCTGCTGGCGGCCAACCCGTCGAGGCCTCCGCCAAAGGTGGTGTCGAGAAATCCGATGCCTCGTCCTCCACCGAAGCCGTCGACAAGGTCACCGACGGTGTCGCCCAGGTGACTCTTCCCACCTCTTAAATGGCCTTCCTTCCGAATCAAACCTTAGAGAGCATTCAAGAATCGCCGGGAAAAGAAAGTTTGGAAGTCATTTTTTGTGTGTCTCTTCTTGCAAGTCCTTTAGAGCGACTTGTGTCCTGTTTGTGGGTGCGGTTGGATTAGAAGCCTTTTTCTTCTTCTTTTTCTTTGTTCCTTTTTTTTCATTTCGGTCCATATACATATGCGCAGAGTTGATACGAGATATGATGTAGATTGATTCCAAGTTTTTTTTTCTCTTTACTTTTCTTTTGCTGTTGTCATCTTGCTTTAAAGTCGTGGATAGCTCTTCGGGTTTTCCTTCATTGTTAGTGGTAGGGTAGGGTAGGGTAGGGTAGAGGCAAGGGAGGTGTGTGGGTGTGTGGCCTGAGGTGTTCTGACCCATGTGGTTTTCGGGTTCTTCCATCTGGGGTTGCTTTTTTCAACAAACAGTCGTCGAGGCATTTAACATGGGTCTCCCACTGATGTTATTCAGTACTCTTCATGATAGACATATTGATGTCGAGTTTCCTACAAAAGATCTAGAATCCCCTCCGCAGCCGCGTAACTTTTAATCCTCTACAAAATACCTAATGCCATGACGACTCAGACGTACTACATTCCTACTACCTTCGAACTTTTGAATTCAAGAAGAACCATTTCTAACCTGAAATGAACCGCTCAGATGCATTATTCCCAGAACACGAAAAGATGATGATAAAAAGACATACATAAAATATGGAGAAAGGGTAGGGAGGGGTCGGGGCGCGTGATAAGGCCTGACCGTGATAATCCGTGCGTTTCATTTTTCAAACATCGAAATTGTTGTTGTTTGTTCCGGGGATCTCGAGATAACGACCCCCGATATGCCCACAGACACGCACATATGCGTCCAAAAACATTGCTGCACACCGGGCCTTCCCTCCCATGCTTCTTCGTTCTCTTCCCGGGCATCAGACTTACTAGGGGATTTAAATCATTACCGCTTGCGAGTACCGGGTCTGGGCTTGACTTCCTCCTGGGCAACGGGGTGCAACATGACCTTGTTGGGGAGTTGTGGGGTGTTGGCGGAGTACCCCTTGCTCCAGTCGTAGCTGACGGCGTAGGCGAAGATGGTGCCCTGGCGGTTGAAGGCGGTCGTGGAGATGGTGCCGCCGACCGAGGGGTAGCCCTTGAGGCGGTGTTTGGCATCCTTGTCCCAGAAGTGGAAGGTGCCGTCGCTGCCGGCGGTGCTGAAGGTGCCGTGCACGGGGTGGAAGGAGATGGCATTGACCGAGTAGATGTTGCTGATGTCGCGCTGGTTGGGCGGGGTCTCGCGGTGGCACTTGAAGCTGAAATTGGAGCTCGAGTCCTTCTCGTCGACGTACTGGATGGCACAACGGCCCTCGACACTGCCCACGGCAAAACCCGTGGAGTCGGCGAAGCAGCTGACTACCCGCGTCTGCCACTTGAGGGGGGACTGCATCGTCTTGAAGAACTTGGTCGGCTGGTCGAGGTTGATGATGTTGATGTACCGGTCCGCCGTGCCGACCACCAGCAGCTTATTCTTGACGTCCATCGTGTACACGCGGTCCTGGCACTCCACCGTCGCGATCGGGGTCTGTTGCCGGATATCCCAGTACTTTATCGTCTTGTCCCACGATCCCGTAATCAGGAGCGGGCTGTTTCCCTGCGGGTTGGGGATCATGTGGCAGCTGCGGATCGGCGCATCGTGCGCCGCCACTTGAGTCGTCGCATTCGACGCCAGGTCCAGCATGCGCGCCGCCTTGTCCGCGCCGGCGCCGACGACTTTCGTTCCATCCTAGGGCAGGGTCAGTAAGCGTTTAGTCGCGCGAGTCGGAGGAAGCAATCGCGCGGACGGGGGTTTCACGTACCGGTGACCAACAGCAGTTCAATACAGGAGCTTCGTGCTCGAAGAAAGCTTTGCCTTCGCTCTGTCCCTGTTCATTGATCTCGTAAATGCGCACCTTCTTGTCCCACGAGGCGACAGCCAGGTGTTCAGCGGCCGGGGAGAATCGAATGTCCGAGATGCTATCTTCCGGAGGTTGGTTCAGGGCAACATCCTTGGAGATGTCACCTGTGGTGTTGGAGGCACCCGCTGACGACGAAGCGCCGACATTACCGAAAAGCGACATGACGACGGAAACTCCGGAGGTTGTCTATTATGTGGTAAGGGGCGATTTGGCCGGAGGCGATGAAAGCGAAAGCTCCGATACGCGAGACGAAAAAGGAAAAGCAGACGCGATGGCTTGGTTGGCGGTCGGCAGAATCTGGAGGTAAGGATTCTCAGGCGACTGATGAAGACAAAGAATTGGCTTCCACAATTCTTGCTCGCTTGACTTTTTTGCAAGCTAGGAGCAGGAGCAAAGCTCGTTGTACAAAAAAGGCGCTAGGGAGCGAAGCACTGGAATTGTTGACGGAGAAGCGAGGCTCTTTCGACGATGTCGGTCCGGGCAAGACTCCAAGACAATCCTCGAATATCCTCGATCCTGCCGAGTCACACCGCCTTCCGCCCGGCCTAGCTGCTGACTCAGCCGATCTTGCGGCAGTCGATAGCCTGAAGTGGCCTGGAGGAAAACGTAGAGATCTATCCAATTCATGCATGCATGGACGGTGGGTGGTCAGATGGTCGAGTGATTGCTGATTGCTTCGACTGTTGATGTCTCAAACCCTGCTCTTATACAATGTATGCTGTTTTTGTTGTTGCTGGCTGATATCGGTACGGTCCTTCATGAGGACTAATTCTTGTACAAAGTACAAGCTACAAGATTTACAGTCATCTCAGCTGACGGCCACTGTTCGACACCATTCAAAGTCTACAGGTTTACTCATCCGTTTGTACGCGTTGTACACCTACACGGAGATGCGGGACAGGCACCCAGCCATGAGTCCAGAATCCCCTCTTCCCCTCTCGCCCCCAGCCAGACAATGCACATAGGATGGCGACAGCGTCGGGGGTAAAACCGCAGGTGTCGCTGGTCGTGATTCGTAGCTCCCGACAAACCCCGCCCGGTGCTGCAAGTTGAGGCAGTCTGCAGACCAATGGTAGACCTCCCTCACCATACGATCGACCTCGGATTGACATTCTGGAGAATCTCCAGACCCGGGCGGAGCTTGTCGCAGAAGGTACCGGAGCAGGCCAGGGGAGGTATCAGCGCACACATCACACCACCACTCCCGGGCATGATTGATCGAGGGACCCAGTCCCCGACCAAGTATGCATCCCTGACTTTCCTTCTCCTTTCACTTTACCATTATTGCCTGAATGTCCCTTGTGGGCGTGGGCATGGTCGTGGTCGTGGGGGTAATCCATTCTCTCCCCTCCCCGTCCCGTTTAAGCTCACGTGTTGGCCGGAAACCAAGGGTGGACTGTACCACGGAAAGCAGGAGTCGATTGATTGGATTTTGGTGATGGAAAACCACGCAACTTAGACAATGAAGTCATCCATTTTTTTAGGGAAAGGATGATCATGATCAATCGGAACATGGGGGTGGGTTGGAAAGAGGAGCGGGTGAGAGCAGATCTCTGGTTTCAGGGTGAATTTTGGAAATTGGATTGGTGGTGTCATGTAAAAAACCGGGGTGGGTGGAAGTAACCATAGATTTGACTGGTACGTCGAGTGGGAAAAAGTACTTTGTTCTCGGTGTCAGTGTCAGTGTCAGTGTCAGTCAGACTTATCAGTCAGTAAATGAATGAGACGAGACCGATGGAAGTGGAGCAAAGCCGCCCGCGGTGGGAATGCGGGGTGCAGCTCTTAGTTCAATGGGAAGCTCTTAGTGGCCGCTTCCGACGTCAGGAGCTGCTCGTGTGATCTCACTACTATGTAGATGGAAGTACAGTCACTACTCCTCCAGGCTTCCAGTACAACAACTTACGATCACACATCCAGGTAATGGGTTAAGGTGGAATTGTGTGACGGTAGCTGAAGTTGTTGGGCTTGTTTCTTTGGATGGATATGATGTTGCAGTGTCTGCATAGGGCCTATGTTTACCTACAATGCATGTACCATACCGTACACTATACATTATAGGTATACTAAAGTATACGCATCAGTAGATGACCCGTTGATGGGAGCAATAGACATGGAACCCAGAGGTTTCATGCTTTGATGCCAACTGGGGAGTGGTTGAACCAGTGCGATCACCTGCCCACCCTCCACTCTCTTCTTCTCCTCCGCTCCATCCAACTCCTCTTAAAGTTCCTGGACTTCCCCCTCGCCTCTTCCATTCTCCTTCTTCTTCTCTTCCTACTTCATCCATTGGAACTCTCTCTCTCCATCTCTCATCCACTGCCATCCCATTCCATCTGCTACTTCCACCCAATTCACTGTTCGGTAAGCTTTCGACCCTGACCCTGGTCCTGATATTTCCTTTGACTTCATTCCCATTCCATCTGTCCCTCGTTCCTCTCACTTGATCCTCTCTCCCCTCTGTAGCTTAAAAGCTCTCGGAGTCGTAGTCCATTTCATCCATCTGAACCACCCTCCTTCTGTCCCATCTTCCATCATCGTCATCGACATCACTAACCAAACGACTCTTCATATCACCAGCCCAGTGATTCCAAACTCATACCATCGTCCACCATGTCAGAAGAACTCACCAGGGTCGACTCCGCCGTCGCTGGCCTGACGATAACGGCCAAGGACGAGAAACCAGTCCAGGTCACCAAGGACACCAAAGAGACCAAGGAGACCAAGCACAGACGTCACTCGTCCACCGCGGACGGCGTCTACAACATCAAGGAACTCGGTGCGTATCACATTCTCTCCACCTCACCTGCCCACTCCGCTCACTCACTAACCGTCCGAACAGAGGAGAAGAAGATCGAATTGACCCTGCCCATTGAGACACAACGCACAGGATGGTAAGAGTTCTTCCATCACCACGCTTCCATCAAGATCAAGCAAGCCATGTCCCACTCCATCTAACCTTTCACCGTTGTCGACGAACAGGAAGCTCAACACCTCCCCATCCACCGTCGAAGACAAGGACATCCTCAAACTCCACCTCGTCAACCCTCCGGTCAAGAAGATCGACCTGCACTTCCCCTTGGGCCTGGAGGTCACGGCCCGCAACATGAAGGGCGTCACGATAAAGGATGCGCTGGACGCAATCTACAAGCAGTTCAAGAAACAGGTACGTCGGTCCTCAGCCCTCTTCCACTCACACACGAAGGTACAAAGGAACACTCTTGTCTAACCCACACGCAGTCTGACGACGTATTGACCGATCCCTACCTCAAAGGTTTCGAGTGGGACAAGGATGAGTGCTGGACACGCCTCATTGTCCACCAGACCAAGCAGGGTCCCCCGGCCCAGCCCAGCAGCAAGAAGTCCAAGAAGAAGAAGAACGAGGACGCATAGAGGTCTCTTCCCCAGGCTTGATGCGTAACGCCCCACCCACCTTTTCTCTACCCTCTCGTAACGAACCACCATGACCTCCTGTCTTAACCCCCCCCCCCTCCCTTGTTGTTAGTCCGGTTGACTTCTCTCTTGTGTACTGCCCCCATATCTGTGGTAGGGTACCTGGAGAAAGACAAAAGGCATTGTTAGTTAAGTTGGGAGGCAAGACGGAGACGCTATCTAATCCTTTGTAATTTGAAACCCTCTCTATGTTCGCGTGTTTCCAGATACTCTCTCTTTTTGTCAAGGTGCAATCTTGTGGCCACTTTCGTTATGATCGATCGTCAAAGACGTGTCTCGGCTCCTCATGGGGTCACCGACGTGGTGTTACAGAGCTAGGGAAAGTGACACCCCACCAACTTCCAATTGACTGATTGACTGGGTGTCGAAATGGACGGTAGTACTGTACAGTACAATCCATTTCGACCCGCAAGTTTCCATCATTTACTTTCACTCCAATGCCATACCAGACCAAACCAGCCGCTTGGGTTTTCCGCGAAAGACGTAAGCTAATCACCCACCGTGACACGTATTTCGTAATGTAGTTGTGGTTTTAGTTGTGGTTGTAACTAGGCAAACTAGGCATAGACTACAATCGAAGTATTCCCGATCGCTAAGACTCAGGCTAGTGCCGTAGCGTCACGCGCTAGTCCATTCGCTACCAGGTAGTCTCCACCTTCCTTCAACATGCTGCGTACTCCCTCAACTAAGTTACCTGCTGTGAGTACCTTATGTACACAGTACCCAGTAAGGCCGTACGAGAACGTGAAAGTAGAACTGGATTATATAATTTCAGATCGGCCGCTTTTGTCACGACTCATGATTGGCATTCGCATAAGAGCCTCATATCTTACCGTGTAAAGGAAGCGGTGGAAATAACCTGGGACGGTGATAGACAGTCGCCACTGGCCCACATTTTACAATCTGAAGGCACCTCAGCTATGTACTTCTACTTTACATCTGTCGTTATGCATAACGATGCAAGCGGTATTTACCCTGATGCCTTCCCCTAACGAACGAAACAATTGATCCATCTAACCCGTGACCATAACCATGCATTGCATTCCGTGCGAACCACAGGTATTAGCATTAGATGCAGGCAGAGAACCACCAAAACGGAAGAAAAGAAACATGCTTACGAACCACCAAAACGGAAGAAAAGAAACATGCTTACTTGCAATAACGGGGAAGCAGACGACAATAGAGAGGAAAGAAAAGAAAAGCCTCAGATGGCCCGACAATGCAGCAAGCAAAACGCCCGCTAAACCCAAATGCAACTGGCAGCGGCAGATTGATTAGAAAGGGAAGGGTGGGGCAACTGATAGAGAAAAAAGCGTGGGGAGATTTCTCGAAAACGTGCAGAAGTCCAAATGCAGATAAGTATACAACAAACACAGTCCGAGTCATCGTCAATGCATTATTAAGTGTGGAGACATTAAGTTATGGAGAGTGAGTGGGTCTAACGTCCGCGTCCGATGCTGTCGAGAGGACCCCCACTACTACTACCACCACCCCCACCTCCGATTAACACCAGCACGATCTCGTCCAAGATCGTGAACACCAGGTGTACATTCAATCGCGGGTTGTTCAAGGTAGCGAAGATGCGCCGGGCCGCGGCTTGCGCGTTGGCCCGCCCGACGACGTTGCCCGCCAGGTCGGGTATCAAGGTCGCCAGCACGAGGCTGGCCTCGGTGCGGCTGCGGAGGCGTTCAGGTGGAGTGCGGACTTTGCTCTGGCGTAGGGTCCCGCCAGGCCACATAGTGTCCTTGGCCAGAGCCAAATAGCGGAGGATGGAGTCGTCCTGCACGAGGGAACGGGCGCCGTCGCGGACCTTGCGCTCGATGGTGCCGCCCAGGAGCTGGTGGAGGACGACGACGACGGCGCGCCCGCGCAGCCAGTTATTGCCCTTGTTGAGCTCGAAGGTTTCGAGGAAGAGGTCGCAGATGGGTTTAATGAAGGGCTCGAGGTCGCGGTCCTCGAAGGCGTTGAGCTCGGCCTCGGCCTCGGCGGCGGAGACAGCGTCTTCAGGGGAGAGGGGCACAGTGCTGGCTGTGGTTGTGGTGTTGAGGTTGCCGTTGGGATTGGTGTTGGTGGCTGCGGAGATGAGGTTCTGGCCGGCCGTAGAGAGCTGGTCGAGCACGCCAAAATTGCCGAGGAAGTCGTCCATGCCGTCGGCGACGGAATTGTAGATCCGGGTTACCAGGTCTTTGGTCTCCCCGTCACGGGAGCTCTGCGTCTCGTTGCGTTGCGTGATTGCTCGCTGGGACAGGAATGCTCGCAGGTCTCGGCTGCGGCAGACTTCAGGGAGAAGGAGCAGTTTCTGCAGGTATTGTTCGAGGGCTAGGCGTCTCTTCTGAAGGAATTCTTTCTGGAGCTTCAGAACCACCCGGCGGCGTGGAAAGTCCAAATGCCTCACGGACGGGTATCTCATGCGTAGTTTGGTGTGAAGTTCATGGAATTCGCTATAGCGACGCGCAACCGCCCAGGATGCCGCTGGCATTTGCTCCCCGGCATTTCTTTGCACTTCGATGACGTCTTCGGGTTGGTCAGTTCGTTGTTCGATGTCTCGACGTCTATGAAAGGACCGCATGATTTGGACTTACACATGGCGAATTCTCGACCATCCTCCTCCTTCCCTACTACGATGGATTTGATCCGGACCGTTGATCGGCCGTACAAGCTATTATCGCTCTCTTGGATGATGTACTGTTGCCGTTGCATCTCTTTCCGGTGAATCTCACGCTGGATACTCGCCTTCGATTTGCGCAGAATCCTCAATTCTGCGGTGTTGTTTGTGAGCTCGGCTTTCCGAGTGAGAGTGTCGACCACGGACTCTTGCGATCCCAGCTTCTCAATCTCAACTGTGAGCGCCTCAATGGCTTCCGTCAGTCCTAAGTCTCCGGGCGCAGCTTCATGAACTTCATCCGCCGGGTCTTTGTCTGATCCCAGAGGTTCTTCATATTCATCTTCGATGAATTTCTGCTGGTCGGCGAAAAGATCATCGTCAAAGACACCATGCCGCGAAGATCGATCGATGAGTCCAAGTGAGGCAATGCTCGGTTTAGCCCGCTCGTCTAGCCGATTCTCCGCACGAGCATACTCGGCCGAGCTGCGCGGAGAGCGCGGGAACAGATCACCGGCTGACAGGCGCGTTGGGGATGACTCTCCGCTCTTCAAATCTTCCAATCTACTGTTTCCGGGCTGATTTGTGATAATATCATTCAAGGCAGCTTCCATCGTCTCGATTACCTGATTCTGATTCGCTTCATTGTCGCCATTCTGCGAGTCCTGTCCAAGACTCTGGGTCGACATGGCAAGGGGATCGGTGTCGTAGTCGTCGTCGAACAAGGGAGCTGACCTTTCAGAATCAAATGAACGTCTTGAAGAGTCATCGTAATCAAGCTTCTTGCCCATACTTCGTACATCGCTTGATGACACAGCTGCACGTCTCAGATCTTTGGGTTTGGCGCTTGGTTGTGAGGAGGTACGGGTTAACAGCGGAGGAAGCGGTCGTCTTTCGGGAAGATCAGCGGTGCTGGGGGATTGTGGAGGCACATGAGACGCAGACTGTGAAACTTCATCTGACGCAAGGTATTTGTAGTAGAGATCCGACTTCTTGAATTTGGGATAGTAGGTGCTCTGGAGCTCCTCGAGTACCGCAGACTGAGTCGTTAGAATTACAGTCCGTGCTTTACGGTACTGGTCCGCAGTGGCTCGCTTGCCTGCGTTGAGGAACGCTTTTACTGCTCGACGGGATTCTTCCGGCACTTTCAACTCTGGTTTGTTCAGGTAACGCTGGCTAATCAATGCCATATCATTCTGGTCTGTGGACGTCCACGATGTTGAGGTTGGAGAGTCCTCGTCCCCGAAATCATCTTCCAGCGGATTGCGGAACCCATCAACGACGATCCAGAACTGCACCAGAGACATCAGCTTTTGACGGTCCATAAACTCCATGAAATAAGAGAGTCCCGAGGCATCATGCATCACGTCGACCAACGATGCCTCACGAGGGGCGGAGTTCTTGAGCCGGAAGTGGGATGCTGCCGCCGAGGCGTGTGAGACACGGCTCCCTGCAGGCGTGGAAAGCTTCGTTACTTTTTGATCCAGAACCCTCTTAGCCGTCTCCAACCTTTGTAAATAGGTCGCATCTTGTCCTTCTACCATAGATTCGCGCTTCAGCTGGCTTACAATGAGGGCTCTGAACCGTCTAGCATCGGAGATGTTGTCGCAGCGCCGGATCGCTCGCACCAACCTCTCGAAGGCTCTTTCTGAATCATGAGGACCTAGACGTGGAAATTGACTCCCGCGCTTCGATCTTGGTGCTGGTGAGGCGTGTTCATCTAGTGCCGCCCGCAGCTTTCGGACCGTCTTTCGGTCCTGTATGGCAGTACGCCCGTAAGCCTCCACCAACTGGTTCCAAGTGTCTGGGTCTGAAAGGGCCGCAATTATAGGATACAGTACGGCGCATGCGAGGATTTCTCGGACTATGACGGACACAATGCGGCTATTGAGTACCGACGCCGGAAACAGTTTTGGCAACAACCCCACGGTGATCTTGCGGAGGTATTCTTGCTCGACGAGCTTCTGGTCGGACAAGGAAACTCTAGCTGCCGGGTGTATATTGCCCTCCCGATACTTGCTCGCTATGGCCAGATCCAGCTCGTCCGACTCGGTAACATTCCGAGTAAGATTTCTTCCCCGCACCAATCGCTCCGCGACATCGAACTCCTTCAGATGGGTTGTGATTATGGGGAATATTCGAGATACAAGAAGTGATACTAAATCTTCTGCTAGCAATCGCTCGCGCAGGTTCTCAACGGCGGTTCGGATCACTCGGTCGACCTCGTTCACGAAGGCGGGGTTCGGGCTAATATGTTGATACCATGATGCGACAAAATCGCGCGTGACTAGACTTAGAGCTTCGTCAATGCCCTCTGAGACCACAAATGACTGAGGGT